CCAGGTGTGTGGTGGCTTCAGGCCTCAGCTTGTGGAAGGGGCTGCCCTTCCCCCCACTGTCTCCAGGACACACAGGCCCCCTGGATGGGGCGGGCAGAGGGCAGTGTGGGGGGAGGCTCTGGAGCTCGGAGGTCTTTGGAGAGATTGGGGGGGCTGGGCCCGCTCTCTCCCCTGCTCACGTGGTTTAAATATCAACTGTCTGCAGATACCCACTGCGGCACGCCACCTACCCTCCACCCCGAAATCGCCACCTCCTGGTCCCCAGGACTTGTGAACATGTTGCCTTACCTGGCCAAAGGGACTTTGTAGATGTAATTAAGGATTGTATAATAAGCCGGAGAGATGGATTATCCTGGTGGGTTTGGTGTCATCCCAAGGGTTCCCACACGAGGGAGACAGACCAGTGTCACTAGTGGGAGAAGTGACCAGGGCATCAAGGGGCCGCAGAGATGCAAGGAAGTGGCCACAAGCCAAGGTACGTGGGAGGTTTCTCTGCCTGGAGTCCAACAGAGTAGGTGACAGCCGGGCTGCGTTCGTCGCTGGGGACTCTGGGAGACGCCGATTCCAGGCTCCTTGTCGTGGGCAGAACTCTGTTCCACGAGAGTGGGGGCCTGAGGCCCCGACTCCTTGCTGGCTGTCGGCAGGGTCGTCCTCAGCTCCTAGGGGGGCCGCATTCCCTGACTCAGGTTCCTTTCGTCTTCAAGCCAGAGCAGCGGCTCAGGCCTCTCTCTACCTGTCCTCTACTGTCTACTGTCTACGAGTCCCCTCCCAGGACTCGCTCTACCTGCAGCGGGAGAGGCTGTCTGGTTTTAAGGACTCACGTGATGACACTGGGCCCACCTGGGAGTCCAGGTGTGTCTCCCTGTCTCTGCAGCCTTAACCTGCAAAGTCCCTTTTTGTCATGTAAGGTAACACTTCCATCTGTCCGCAGGCCACAGGGATTAGCACGTAGGCATGTCTGGGGCTGTTACCCTGCGTGCCGCACTCCTTGCTTGTCCGCGCCTCCCATGGGCTTAGTGGCGTTTTCTCTCCCACCATCAGAAGGGACTGGGCCACAGGCTCACGGTGGTCACCTGCTGGCCACCCTGTCCCCCAGTTCTCTGGCCATCATCCTGGCCAAACCCTTCAAAAGTCCTTTTTCTCCTGCTCTTTCAACTTGGGGGCTTTCCCCTCCTGGCACGCCCGGTAGAAGGACCCCCCTGTCTTGACTTTGTGGGCCTTTTCCTCCTGGCCCAGTCTTGGCAACGCATCTTTCTTCCTCAATTCCCCACTAAGAGCCTTTCCCCTCCTCCTGGCGTAACTTCCCGCCCCGCTGGCTGGGGCCCCAGGTCCTCGTTCCCTCTGCCGTTCCCAGCCTGGCCTAAGACCGACCGAGGTGCACATGTCACTTACCTTCGCTCAGGTGGAACCTTCTAGGTCCAAGCGAGTTGCTGGGCCCCTCACGCCTTGCTCTCCCCATGCGGAATTCCTCCCTCCAGGTCTACACCGCACTCCAGTGGCCCCAGCCAGACCCACGCGGGGCGGCACCAGGAGAGAGGAGCTTCCCTCTGCACAGGTCCCTTGTCGGCCTTATCCCCACGCCCACGCCGGCGGGCCGGGCTGATGGGCGCTCACCTGTGGCCACTCCCGTCTCACCAAACTCAGCTGGAGGAGCCTCAACTCGGAGCAGCCGAGGCCCCCAGCACGCAGGCTCCAGACAATCCTCTTTCATCCACAAACTCTCCCTGCTCTGCCCTCAAACTCTTCCCCAAGTCCCCCTGGGCCATCAGCTGGCTGGTCGCCATGGGTGGTCTTGCTTCTAATCGCTGCTTCCTTCCTTCCATGTAAGTGGGGACCTGGTTGCTACGGTAACCAGGCGAGGCCTGGAGAGGGCCTGGATCTTGACCGTGGTGACTCTACTTAATTGGATTCTTGCTGTGTTCTTGGCCTCCTTCCTTTAGGTGGTTATGAGAGAACACACCTTTCCCCAGTTCTGTCCTGCTTTTTCCATATTTCGTTGTTCTCTTTCTTTGAACTCTGTCTGGCCTACACATTTTTTTTTTTTTTTTTTGAGACAGAGTCTCGCTTTGTTGCCCAGGCTAGAGTGAGTGCCGTGGAATCAGCCTAGCTCACAGCAACCTCAAACTCCTGGGCTCAAGCAATCCTCCTGCCTCAGCCTCCCGAGTAGCTGGGACTACAGGCATGCGCCACCATGCCTGGCTAATTTTTTCTATATATATAATTAGTTGGCCAATCAATTTCTTTCTATTTATAGTAGAGACGGGGTCTCGCTCTTGCTCAGGCTGGTCTCGAACTCCTGACCTCAAGCAATCCACCTACCTCAGCCTCCCAGAGTGCTAGGATTACAGGCGTGAGCCACTGCGCCCGGCCTGGCCTATACATTTTTTTCTGGAATTTTCTAACTCAATTCCTTTTGTTTCTCGTAGCTGACATCCATGCCAAATTGAAAAACAAAAAAGTTTGGCACCAAGTCTGGCCGGGCCGTCTCCCTCCCCCTGATGCTGTGATTGACAGCCCCCCATGATAGCGCCCCCATCGGCATTTCAGCTAACGGTTCCGTCCACTGACAATCTCCGCCTCAACCATACATTTCATCAGAGGTTTCAAAACGGTGATGTTTCTGATTCGCCGTCTTTTTGACACTTACGAAATAGAATTCTTCCGCCAAGAGAATAAACTTCCCTCTTCCGTTGTGGCTGTTTGTTTATCCTGAAATGCAATTTGTGCAAGAAAGCCTGGTTTACTTGTCCCCTCTTCGTTGTCATTCATGGCCTAGCTTCTGAGAAAGGGTTGGTTCCCTGATTATTTCTGGCCGTGACCAACAGCTGCATGTTTCTTGATCACCGTGAACTCTTCCTTCTCTTTGCTTTTGATGGGTTTAAATGTCTACTGAATGCTGAGAAGACATTGGCCAGAAAGACCCAAATGGTCCCTCCCTGTCCTTGTGTGGCTTTATTCTTACGGGTCTTGCCTGTCGTGTACGTGTCACTAAGCACGCAGTTGCCAACTGCTCTTCATTTTTCTTTACGGGCCTTAGGGTGACGTGTTTTAGTTCCTACTTATCCCACACAATAAGCCCCCGTGAGACTTACGGACAATCAGAGAGCAAGGTCCTCAGCACGCCCACCCTTGTTCCAGACACCAGCCACAAGTGGGGACCCAGGCTACCCCACACCTCTGTCCCACTTGGCTACAGACTCAGGGTTCCCATGACCCTCCTTTAGGTTCAACAGTTTGCAAGACTGACTCACAGAACTCAGGAAGGTGCTATACTTACAATCACTATTTTATCATAAAGGATGAAAAGGTATGCAGGGTAGCCAGGTCTGGAAGGGTCTAGAGCCCAGTTGCTTTCATGCCTGTGGAACCAGTTGCTCCACCTTCCTGCTATGTTGCATGTTCACCAACCAGGAGGTGTCCGGGCCTCATTGTTCAGAGCTTTTATTGGGGCTCCACGACTTTGGCACGATTGAGTAAATCATTGGCCACGTGATTGGCCTCAGTTGCCAACTTTCTCTCCTCCCTGGATGTTGGGGGTTGGGGATGGAATTCCCAGCCCTCCAATCACATGCTTGGTCTTGGTGGCTTGGCCAGCTCCTCCCTGGAAAGTATCTAAGGGCCCACCACAAGTCACCTTGTTAGCACGAACTCAAGGATGGTTGAAAGAAGCCTATTAGGAACACAAAATACACCCCTAGCAGGAAATCCCAAGGGTTTTGAAAGTCTGTGCAAAGAACTGCTCACGATGGCCAGCTCTATTCTTCAGTGGGTCACGGTCAGCGTCTGCAGCAGGGATAAAACTTTAACTGCGGGTTTCTGAGGTTACAGCACTTACACCTTTAAATGTCATTGAAGCTAAAGCCCAGGGAAGAAGCTTTTTATTTGGCAAAAAGTTACACCTGGGGGGAGGGGGACAAAGGCAGGCTCAGAAGGACAAGACAGCAGGCTCATCTAGACAAGGCACCAGTCCGACTACTGTAAGCCTTAGGGGGCTTGGAGGTGGACGAGATGGAAGATTCTGAGCCCAGGCTCTCGGAGTTATGGGAACCTCGGAATGAGTAAAGGGCTTCACTTTGCAGACACTAGAGAGATTCCTTTTTAAAACATGAAGAACAAGGGAGAAGCTAATTGGAATAAAAAGATACAGAAAACATGCAGGTTGCCAGAAATATGGTGCACAGAAAGCTGGATTAGAGCAACTATCTTTTTTTTTCCCCCCAGCATAAGAGCAACTATCTTTGAAGGCAGGTCCCTTGCAGAGTGGGAGCTCGGCAAGGCAAGGCTGCGTGAAGGACGTCGCCGTCTTGATTCCAAGAGGAGTCCAAGAAGCGGGGGGAGAAGTGGCAGAGAACATCGAGGGGGAATGGACCCGGGTGGCTCTTTCACACAGTGAGCGGATTCTTTAAGTACAATTGCCAGATGACCCCTACAAGTTTCTTCTAGCATTATTAGTCCGGCATTCGATGACGTGTGATGGAGAGCATGCCACTGACAACAGCATGCACCCCAGCTCTGTGGCTTCCCGGTGTCCGCGCCGTCTAGGAAGACGAATCTGGGGAAGCACAATGTTTCCTAAGCAGGCACAAGCAATGGTTAAAAGAGGCAGGTAGGAAAAAGAGGGAACTGCATCTCGGAAGGTGACTATTGCCAGACAAGATTTGGGCACTTACTGATGGTGCAGATCTTAATAGCTAGAGCTGACCCTGGGGTTAGGGGGGTTCTCTCCAGCAAGGGCTGTCAGCTGGGGAAGGTTCTACTGCCCAGAGGATATATGAAAACATCTTGACTTTTTTTCTTCTTTTTTTAGAGACAGAGTCTCACTCTGTCGCCCAGGCTGGAGTGCTGTGGCATCATCACAGCTCACTGCAACCTCAAATTCCTGGGCTCAAGCGATCCTCCTGCCTCAGCCTCTCGAGTAGCTAGGACTACAGGCATGTGTCACCATGCCTGGCTGATTAAAAAAATTTTTTTTTGTAGAGACTGGGTCTTGCTGCCCAGGCTGGTCTCTAACTTCTGACCTCAGGTGATCCTCCTGCCTCAGCCTCCCAAAGTGCTGGGATTACAGGTATGAGCTGCTGCTCCTGGTCTTGAAAATTTTTTAATCGTCACAACTGGGGAGCATCCAGTGGGCAGAGGCCAGGGATGCTGCTCAACATTCCACAATGCACAGGACGGCCCCTAAACTAATGGTTATCTGGCCCAAAATGTCAATAGCGCCAAGGTTGAGAAATCCTGCTCTAAAGGAAGAAGGGGTGCGGAGAGCCAGGTGTAACAGGCGGGAGGCATCGGGTCTCTCTTGGCCGGGAGGGGGCACTCTGGAGAGGTGTGGCAGACTCCCTTGGGTGACTGACTCCCTTAGGGTGTCTTCATCCCCTTTCTCGGTTGCCACCTTTGAGTGACAGGAAGCCACATGACAGTGCCATGTACTGAAATGTAAGATTTGCTGGGTGAAGCTTCCAATAAGATCCCTGTGCTCTTGACCTACGGTCACCTGTCCCCTTTCTGTTTGTCCTGCCTGGACGGCGAATCTTTCCTCTGGAGGGGCACTGGCCGCTTTCAGGGCCATGAAATGCTAAATCAGCGACTAAAGAGGGAGGAGCCAAAAGCCAAAGGCAGAAAGAGCTGTGCCCCTGGGGAACAAGTGGCTGGCGTTTGTGGCTGTCACACCATGTGTGTGTGGGGGGGCGGGCGGTGCTGACACGCAGGGGTGGAGCCCAGTGGCGCTGTTCGGCATCCCACAAGGCACGAGTCCCGGGTGTCCTGACGCAGGGCTACTTGTAATTGGGGGTGGGGGAACCACTTGTTTAAGCTCCTGTGGGCTGGGTTTTCTGTTACTTGTGGTTGAATCAATTCCAAGATGGGACAGCGGGAGAAGTTCTTCTATTCCGGACGGTTACAGGGCTATTTCCAGATGATACCTCCGTTAGATGACAAAACCGGCACCTTCCATGGCTGGACTGGGTTTCCCGCCTCATCCTTGAAGCAGAGAGAGGACGACCATTCCTTCGCTTCTTTTGCCAAAAGATGCCAAGACCAACGGTCCCCTCCCCCCAGGTCTCCGGTAGGCTCAGCTGGGTCCAAGATCACAGGCCTAAGTGAGGGGTGAGAAGGCAATAGAGAATTCCAGAACCAGTGACTTCAGAATTTGGGGCCCGTCCTACTTTCAGCAATAAAACAATGTGCTCTTACAGCTTAGATGACAGTAATTCAAATATACCAACGTGGTTCAATGTATTTCCCTAGAATTAAATTCTATGTGTCAAAAATGTTTCAAAAGCTGTTAATTACTATGCATGAAGGCACAATGTAACGATCTCCTCCTAGCTAGGTCTACTGAAACACGATGTGTAATTTAATCAGATACAATGTTGCCAAGCAGCCACAACTAGGCAACCCAGGGTGTCTTGTTCTGTCTTCTCTATTCTTTCTCAATGCTATTTTGTTTTCTCTCTTTCCTGTCCCCCGGTTTCCATTGTTTCTGTCCCCTGCTGGTGGCCCTGAGTGAACACACTGTGATTCTTTACTATTCTTGAAGTCTGAAAGGGTAGATAAACCCTCATCTGATACAAACCCTGCAGGATAAATGGCCCCGTGAGTGACAGCATTAATTCCCAGGGACAACGTGATCGCCTCTCAGACTTGCTAACAAATTCATGTGTTTCTTTCCAACTTAGAAAGAGGAAAGGAACTCGAGGACCTGGGGCCTCCCTGTCCTCCCTTCCCTGTCCCTTCTGGACACTATTTTCTCCATCTGCCCTAGGATTTTATCCCTGGGGACCAGCACTCCCCGCTTGGACACGAGAACGAATCGCCACCCCAAGGGAGGAGCACCCCGGGCGCTGATGGGAATTAGGTGAAGACCAGACGGGGCTGGGGTCCGGGCACCTGGTTTTCTGGATCTGGGTCAGGAGGAACCTCTTCAGCGTCTCATTTTCGAAGTTGTAATTGATGATCCAGAAGATGCAGAGCTGCCGGTACTGCGTGACCAGCTCGAGGACGGTGCGGAAGCCTTGGGCGGTGTCAAAGTCCAGCGCCTTGCTGCCCTGCTCCCAGGCGTACACGGCGAGCAGCTCCAAGGCGTACTTTGGCGGCAAACAGCCCTTAGGCTTCAGTCTCCTTTCGCACTGGGGGAAGAGTGGGAACGTGAGATGACACTAGGATGCCAGAGAAGGGCAAGGAGCTCGGTGGCAGTCACACAGGGGCCACAGCAGGACAACTGAGTCAACGGCCGTGCCGTGCTGGCGGGCTGGCGCCCTGCAGGTCTAGACGGTGGCGGTTTACAGCTCACCGGGCACAATGAGCAGCACGCACGGCACGCTCTGTCGCGCCTTGGGCCACACATTCCATCCTAGGGCAATACGGCCGCTGTGGTTTACTAGAAACCCACTGCATGCCAACTGTGGGTCCAGGCAGGTCCCCTGCACCCTTCCTAATCCTTCCAACAGCCCTGCCGAGCGGGCACCGCGACCTCCAGGTTAGATGGGGACCTGAGGCTTGGGGAAGCGAAGTGACTTAGCCCTGAGCCCCGAGCAGACGCGTCACACCCCCTGTCTGAGTTTCCAGATGAAAACCTCGGCTCTCAGGCTCAGGCTTCGGGGAGCCGGACCGGGGAAGGGGAGGCCTCAGGCGGAGCTGACATCGTGCTTGATGGTGGCCCCCAGGAAGAAACTCAGAAACTCCCTCGTGTGCAAAGCCGTTGGCCACAATGCGGGGAGGCTTGCCAACGAGAAATGTGCGCCCGTCCTGCTTGTAGCTTCAATCTACGGGTGGCAGCTTTAATGGTAGGGGCTGCTCTACGCCTCACCCAAATTAATGGGGTTCGTGATGGGAACCCCGCAAAGATGCCTAGGGCTTAAGGAGTGGGCAGATTCCCTAAAAGGTGGTTCATAAACCCAGCATGGGAGAGGGTGGGCGATGGGGCACTTGCTAAGGGCTGGCGTGATGGTCACGGCTTGCTGGTAAAAATAAGAAGCCGATGCTCAGACAAGGGCTGTCGTACCTGCGTGTACCAGTGCTTCACCAGGCGGATTAAATTCCTCACTTTGGTGGGCTGGAAGCCAATGAAGTTTCGCTGTAGCACCGTGAAACTGGTAGAAAACTCTCCCCCTGGGATGTCTGGGGATGTGTACATATTAATAAGCTCAGCATAAACCCTGGGGCTGGGTGCGGAGCCGGAACTCAATTGGCCTAGCAAGAGGGAGGTACAGACGTTACAACTTAATATGTATAGTAAATAACAGATTTCAAAACATTTTTGACAAGCATAATTTAATTCCAGGAAATTATTTTGAAAGGTATCAATATATTTATATCACTGATGTCTAAGCTTTAGGGGCATCTCCAGAGTAACGAGATTTTAAAAACATTATATGATCTCCATGGGTACAGGGAGTACTATTAAAGTATTATCTAGGCTGGCTGGGGTGGCTCACGCCTGTAATCCTAGCACTCTGGGAGGCGAGGCAGGCCGCTTGGCTCGAGGTCAGGAGTTCGAGACCAGCCTGAGCAAAGCGAGAACCCTGCTGTACTATTAAATAGAAAGATATTAATTGGCCAACTAATATATTATGAAAAAATTAGCCGGGCATGGTGGCACATGCCTGTGAGTCCAGCTACTCGGGAGGCTGAGGCAGGAGGATCGCTTGAGCCAGGAGTTTGAGGCTGCTGTGAGCTAGGCTGACGCCATGGCACTCGCTCTAGCCTGGGCAACAAAGTGAGACTCTGTCTCAAAAACAAATAAAGTATTATCTAGACCTGCACTGCCCAACATAGGAGCCACCAGCCAACGCGGCCATTTCCATTCAAGTTAATTAAAAGGAAATAAACTGAAAATTTAGTTCCTCAGTTGCGCTGGCCAGGTGGCAAGCTCTTGTTGGATATAGAACACAGAACATTTTCATTATCACGGAAAGACCTTTTGGACAGCACTGCTCTGGAGTTTGCAAACTATGGCCCTTGGGCTAAATCTGGCCCACTGATTGATTTTGTAAATAAAGTTTTATTGGAACACAGCCACGTCTATTTGTTAATATATCATGTATGGGTGCTTTCATGCAACCACGGTAAGGCTGAGTAGTTGCAACAGATACTGTATGGTCTTTAAAGCTGAAAAGTTTTGCTATCTTTCCTTTCACCAAAAAAAAAAAAAAAAGTTTGCCCACTACCCATTCTATACTGTTGTACCCTTTTGAGAGACACTAAGTGCTGTTCAGAGGGTAGTACTAGAGTGTTCATGATTTTGACTTGGGAAATGCCTGAAATAGCTTTGATTTCTTTTAATATCCCATTATGTACCTGTCACCCATGAACTGAATTTCTAAAGGAGATTTTTGCCTAAGATTGAAACCAAACACCCAGATTTCCTGTGTTTTTTGCCTTAGAATTCCTCCCACATTTTGCTCTTTGATTTCCTTCACTATATTTGAGGCATTTTATCTACAAATGCATATGGAACTCCTGTGTACCCCATTATTTGACAGACATGCGGTTGATGCCTGGGAGTATGAGCTGTAATACTTGGGATATGCAAATGAGAAATAGGAACGAAATCACATGCAGGTGTAAGGTCTCACTGCCATTATTGATGCCACCTGCTGGGAGTCCTGGGCCACGAGTGGCATATGTTTTCACACCCAGTTCCTAAGCCACATGGCTTTCTCTCCAGCCCACCCCCATCACTTCCAGAATCCAGAATCTTCCTCCTACAGAGCCCAAGGGCCGGGGCGTCTTACCCAGAGCGTTAAAGGCGGGTAGCACGTCGAAGTCGATGCTTTCGTTGAGTACTTTGGATTTTAGAGAGAAGCCCAGTGCCCTGGGAGCCTTCTGTACTGAAATCTCAAACGTGACTTCAAACTCCTTCTTCTGTAAGACTTCCAGCTGTTTCTGAATTTCCTTGATGATGTGGCTGCGTTCGCTTGTTTGGGAGGCATAACTTTTAATCGAGTCACGGAACACGACGAGTGTGGCGTCAGAGCCGGTCTTCAGAGCTGTGCCTTTGGCGGTTGATCCCCCCTGGGGAACAAAGGAAGGCTGAGCTGTAGCATTTCCCAGCCCGAGAGGGCCTTGTGCCCACGGGCTGGCACCAGTCACGCTAATCAATGAGGTCGCCAAGGCTGGGTTCTGTGTCAGGGTCCAGCGAGGGCTGAGTCTAAGGCAAAGTGTTTCATCTTACAAACTAATAGATACCACGGTTCCAGAGGCAACTATTCTCCTGCCCTTCACATATAAAAAACCAATGTGCTATAAGTTATAAGTTACCTGCTTCTCAGGTAAATTTCCTAAAGATTTCCCCTATAGAAATATTTAGCTTTATTTGGATTCCTGTGACCCAAGAGAAATCAAGCTGAATGCAATTATTATGGTAAAAGTTCTCATCTGTTCCTTGATTGATCAATGGTCTAAGTCTGAGGACCACTGGATGGATATTCGTAAGTACAGGGCTCAGCAAACTTTCTGTAAAGGGTCAAGAGTAGCTATTTTAGGCTTTGTGGGCTCCTTATGTCTCTGCTCTATGGGCTTCTCCCGTTCCTCCCTCCTCCTTTCCCTCTTCCTCCTCCTCCATTTAGTGTCTGCAGGGAAATGTTTATTTTACCCATGGTTAGCGAGGGCCCGCACACGGGCTTGGGAGGTGAGGAAGGGCTGTGCTCTATTTCCCGTGTGCACAGCCTCAAGTCACCCACTTCCTTCATGCACCCCATCTTCAATGGCCCCTCCCCACCTGCAGACCCTAGCTCACAGCATCCTCGAACTCCTGGACTTAAGTGATCTTCCTGTCTCAGCCTCCCAAGCAGCTGGGACTTTAGGCATGCACCACGACACCCAGCTAATTAAAAAAAATTTTTTTTTTGTAGAGACGATGGTCTTGCTATGTTGCCCAGGCTGGTCTTGAACTCCTGGCCTTACAGTGATCCTCCTGCCCAGGCCTTGCAAGGTGCTGGGATTATAGGCGTGAGCCACCACGCCCAGCCCTTTTCTTCTTTGTTAACTATCATGTTAATGGGGCCTCAGGAAGGAGAAGGGAAAAGGCATGCTTCAACGGTTCCGACATTGATCACAAACTCAGTCTTGTTTTCACCCCGATGAACCTCGGCGAGACAGTCACTCAATCGCTCAGGGGGTATCCGTGAGGGTTTGCAGACACTGCCAGCGAGGCATGCACGCTTGCATGTGTGTTTTCACATACGTTGACATGCTCTTCCCTCCCTTCTTGAGACTGTGGGCTCACTTTTGTCTGGTCACATGACCGACAGAGGGAAGTGTGTCAGCCCGTGCCAGTCAGGGACAGGAACAACTCGATGCTCTGAATCTCTAGCTCAGCCTATGAGGCACAGTGGTCCCCGGTCACTGACCCGAGAAGGTCCCTCTCTGGCTTACTGCACCCCGAGAGCTAGAATCTGCAGTGGGTAGCATGGTGACCCCCCCCAAGATAGGTGCTCTGGGATCTTGTGGATGTGACTTTATTTGCAAAAAGGGTCTTTGCAGATGTAAATAAGTGAAGGATCTGCAGATGAGATCATTCTGAACGAGGGCAGGCTCTGAATCCAAAGACAAGTGACTTTAGGAGACACGCAGAGCAGAAGGCAGCGGAAGACAGAGGCAGAGATGGGAGCCAGAGATCTCTGAGCCCGGCAGCCCCACCAAAGTGTGTTGGTGACGGCGGCGCAGGCAGAGCCCACCGGAAACCAGTGCCCTGGTGCCCTGACCTCCCCAGCTTCCCTCCCTGGAGCCCCTGAGGGTAGACGGGCCCCGGGCGGCTACGACGCCCCCTTCTCCCCGCCAGGGCTACTTGGGAGAGAAGGGCCGCGCTCACCTTGACGATCTGGATCTTGGCAGGCGACTGTGGAAAGCAGCGTTCTGTAAGGAAGGCGCAGATGGCATCAACGGCCTTTTCGATCTGATCTAGGAAATACTTGTCGGGCTGCAGAAAGTCCTCGATGAACGTATCTAGGAGATGGCCCGGGGTGGCGAAGAGCGGTGCCGGCTGGGGACAGGCGGAGGACGGAGGCATGAGGGGCCCCTGCAGGCCGACCTGGAGGCTCTGCCCCGCCCCGCCCTCCTGCCCTGCAGTCCCGGCCACCTCCCCGCCTCTGCCCCTTGCCCTGACACGGCCCAAGAACAAACCTGGGAGTTTAGGGTGGTGCCCAACACCCCCCAGAAACAAAACTCTCCCAGCCGGGAGTCCCCACTTCCTTCCTAGGAGAGATCTGGACCCTTCTTCTGCCAGGTCGGCCGTGCCCCCAACCCCAAGCTGCTCTCTGGGCCCACTTCTACCTGCGGCACCACCCAGCGCGAGCAGCACCTGTTTGCTTCATTGCCCCCTTTCAGCAGCCAGGTTCTGCTGATCACCACGCCCACGCAGTCCGTGAAGGTTGCACGGGCCTTGGTTAAACTCTCTGCCCAGGTGTGTCACTTTCCGAACGCTGCCAGGACAAGCTGCCACGCCTGGGGGGCTTCAGGCAACAGAAATTCATCTTCTCACAGTGCTGGAGGCCAGAAGTTCAACACCAATAATATATGAAGCCTAAATCTCCTGAATTTGACCATGGCATGGTGGTCGTAGAGGAGCGTGTCCTGATTCTCGAAGATCCATATGAAAGCATTTAGGGGTCAAGGGCTGTGCGGCCACCTGCTCTCAAAGGACAGTATAAACAGCAGCTATGGCAACGGCAATGACAGTAAACGTCACACACACAACACTGCCAAGGCGGTAAATGTTACACACTTGTGCATCTGCGTGAAGGGCACACGGGAGTTTATTGAATCACTCTCGTAACTTTTTAAATATGTTTGAAAGCTTTTCAGAATAAAACAGGGGAAATATTAATAATTTTTGGAGGCCAGGCGCGGTGGCTCACGCCTGTAATCCTAGCACTCTGGGAGGCCGAGGGGGAGGATTGCTCAAGGTCAGGAGTTCAAGACCATCATGACCAGCTCTCTGAGCAAGATCAAGACCCTGTCTCTACTAAAAATAGAAAGAAATAATTGAGCCAACTAAAACACATATAGAAAAAAAAATTAGTCCAGGCGTCAATAACAACCAGGTGGCGATGCCACTAGATCCCCAAGAACCCTGCTTTCAAGGAGGCTTGAGGCAAGCGAGGATCAACTTGAGCCCAGGGTTTGCGGTTGCTTGTGAAGCTAGGCTTGGATGCCAGGCACTCTAGCCCCTAGAGCAACAGGAAAGATGAGACATACAAAATGTTAACCCACTCAAACATAAAAGTAAAAAAACAAAATCAAAAATGTCTCATGGAAAAAAAGCTGTTCTGAGGAAGTAGGGAAAACCAGGGTGAGCGAGCAAGGGCAGGACTCCGGTGGCAGTAGGGTCCGCGGGCCCGGGGGTGGCTGCCCAGAGCATCATGATCCTTCTAGACCCAATTTAAGGCTCCCGCATCAACAAGGAACTCCTTTACCTGCAGCGGCCCCAAGAGTTTTCGGTACCATTCTTTGACATACCCAGCATTTTTGGCTCAAGCGCGGTCAAATCTTCGTGCAAATGGAAAATGTAGGTCCCACCTCCCATAATCAGGATGTAAATTAGTGCCCTGTCTGTGAAATGTGGAAGTTGGTTGGCCCATCTGGCCTCGAATGACACAGCTGTGCCCACTGGGGTTCCCGGAGAGCTGGCCGGGTGCCTCTCGGGTCCCCCTTCCTAACGCTCTGGGCGTGCGGGGAATTCCACGCTGATGGGTTTGCTTCTCCTTCTGGGGACGGGGGAGGGAAAGCCTGCACCTCTTTCACAGCTGGCCCTTGAATTGGTCCTCCCGTTTCTGCCTGCTGTCCTCCTGTCCCTGCATCTGCTTGAAGCGCCGGTTCTCCCGGGCTCCGCTCCCTGTCCTCTCCCCCCACCCGCTCACCTGCTCTCTCCTCTGCAAAATTCACTGGAATCTCGTCTGCGAGTCTCCCCTCTCTCACTGTTCCCTTTTGCACTTCACAATCATTGCCCGTGACAATGTGCTCCGGGTTCAACTGTGTCCCCCCTAAAAGAGGCCTTCAGTACGTTTGAAGTAGACTGTTAATTTGGAATAGGACGTTGTAGGACTTTACAGATATAATCAGGTTAAAAGGAGGGCATTATGGTGGGCCTTCATGCAACGCGACTGTTGTTCCTATAAGAAGTGGGGAGATGGTTAGAGCTGGAACCCATACTACTAGTGATAGTTATCCAAAGAATGGAAAAACAGCACCACATATACTCACCAGCAACTGGTATTTAACTGAGTAGCACTAAGGTGGACACAAGGTGCTACAGTAATAGGGATTGGCGGCAGTGGGAGGGGGGGGTATATACATACATAATGATGAGATGTGCACCATCTGGGGATGTCATGATGGAGACTCAGAACTTGTGGGGAGGGGGGAAATGGGCATTATTGAAACCTTAAAATCTGTACCCCATATATGCAAAAAAATTAAAATAAAAAAGAGTGGGAGAGACACAGAGTCACACACACACACGGAGGGACGATGACATGAAGACATGCAGGGAGGAGGCCGTGTGACAACGCAAGCAGAGACTGGAGTGATGCGGCCACAAGCCAAGACTGCTGGCGGCCACAGAAGCTGGAGGAGGCGTGGAAGGGTTCTCCCTGGAGCCTCGAGAGAGAGGAGAACGAGAGAGGAGGGAGGGAGGAGGGAGGGAGGGAGAGAGGAGAGAGAGAGAAGAGAGAGAGAGAGGAGAGAGAGAGAGAGAGGCCCGCATGACACCTTGATTTTGAACTTGTAACGCCCAGAACGGTGAGAGAATACATTTCTGTTGTTTAAAGCCGCCCGTTTGTGGTGCTTTGTTGCAGCAGTGGCAGGACTTGGCGGGGCCTTGGTCTGGGTGTCAGCGGGACCCTCCCTGCGGCGTGCAGCAGGCTGTGGCTGGAAACCCTCACCGGGACGTGCCAGGACGGGGCAGGCAACTGGCTGTCCAGGCTGGGAGACGTGAGCCGCAGCTGAGCCTTTTCTTTCAGCGTTCGCCAGCACCTCTCCCCTCCTCCCACGTTGTTGGTCGGGTCCGTTGGATCCACGATCACTGGCCTGTGTGTGCCATTAGATGACAAAAAACATCATCTGAGCTGCTTGTGGGAGTAGAATTCAGTTTTGGGGAAAAAGGGCTTGAGTGGGAAATCTGGTCACCGGAGTTCTGATTCCTGGGATTCCTCCAAGGTGCTAAGGGGCTTTGTCTGTGACACCCAGCCCCTGGGGCGCGCCCTGCGTTTTCTGCTTTACAGATATATCTCTCTCCTCTTCTGACAACTCCCTTTTCTCTCTGATCTCCTTCCTTCTAGAAGGGGAAGAACCTCTCCAGTATTTTTGGGACAAAATGTGCCCGCGGTTGGAAACATACAAAGCACTGGCTGGGACACAACCGTCTGCCAGCCCTCCCATGGCAGTGGCTGCCATTCTGTTTTTATTTTTATTTTATTGTTTTGTAGAGACAGGGCCTCACTCCGTCACCCAGGCTGGAGTGCAGTGGCACAATCATAGCTCACTGCAGCCTCGAACACCTGGGCTCAGGTGATCCTCTCACCCCAGCCTCCCGAGTAGGTGGGACTACAGGTGTGTGCCACTATACCCAGCTAATTTTGAGATTTTTTTTTTTTGTAGAGATGGGGTCTCACTGTGTTGCCCAGGCTAGTCTCAAACTCCTGGCCTCAAGCGATCCTCCTAACTCAGCCTCCCAGAGTGCTGGGCTAACAAGCGTGAGCCATCACGCCTGGCCAGTGGCTGCCATTGTTTTGGCACATCTCGGACTGGACAGGACAGGGCTGAGGCCCCGTGTTACAGGGGAACAGGGCGGGGCTTTGGGGCGCTGAGCACCTCTCCGATCGGAGTTGGTTCAGCAGGACGTTCCTGATGGTCTCCTCGTCAAAGCTGTAGTTGACTGTCCAGTAGATGCACAGCTGCTTGTGGCACTTGATCAGCCTCAGGATGGTTCTGACGCCTTCAGCCGTATCAAAGTCTTCTTTTCCACAGCCCTGTTCCCAGGCATACACCGTGAGCAGCTCCAGAGCGTACGGACTCAGCGTGGGCAAGTGTCCCGTTTCTTTCATCTGTTCCTGGCACTGTGGGGAAAGAAAGAGCAGCAGCCCATCTGGGATCCAGAACCTTCCATGTCAGGGACCTGAAATCAAGAAGCCAGAAATCCCCAAGAGGTCACCCTCCCCCACCGGAAGGTCTAAAATTCAGTGGAACGACAATACCAAGTGTTGGCAAGGACCTGGAGCAACTGGAACTCATGCTTGCTAGATGGGAGTGTAATTTGGTGCAACCATTTGGGCAAACTATTTGGCAATATTTGCTGCAGTTAAACAAACAAATAAATGGCCCACATATATAGTCTATATATTTATGCGTACACACACACACACACACACACACACACACACACATAGCATTTGTGTACATGTACTGTATAACCCAGCAATTCTACTGCTGCATGTTTATTTACCCAAGAGAAATGTGTGCTTAAATTCACAAAAAGACATGTGGGAGAATATCCATAGGAACCTAATTCATAATAGCCCCAATGTGGCGTTGACCCAAACATCCAGCAGCTGTAGAATGGATAAATGTGTGGCATGTTAACACAGCACGATACTACAAGACAATGGAAAGCTACCACATGCCACAGCACGAATGAATCTCTCAGACATAATGTTGAGCAAAAAAAAGGCAGACACAAAGTAGGGACAGTATGATTCCATTTACATCGTTTAAAAACAAGCACAACTAATTTGCGGTGGCAGGTATTGGAATGGGGGTTTGTTTGGGGGTATTACTGGGGTACCATGGGCTTGAGGCACATTCTGGGGTGCAGGAAATGTTCCCTATTTTGACTTGAGTGTTGCTGAGAAGGATGTAGAAAAATGTGTTGAGTGTATACTTAAGACTGCTGCATTTTACTGATGTAAATGATCTCAATAAAAAGGGAATGAGTGATAACAATATATATACAGTTGGAAAATTACCTGTTGGTGCCAGTATTTTACCAAGAGGATCAAATTCTTCAGCTTTCTGGGACGGTTGTTAAAAAACTTCTCCTGGAGTTCTGTGAAGCAGACTGCGAACTCACCGGGGCCGGCTTGTGTCTTATCCAGGGATCTTTTGAGATCTTGATAGACCCAGGGGTTGGGGCCCTCCAGGGAGCCTGATGTGAAAGAAAAACCAAGAATTTTGGTATTTACGTAACCTCGTCTCAGAGTCAGGGTTGCTCAACGATGAAGGACCTTTGTCATTTCATAGCACACGTGCACTGCTTCATCTGCAAGAGGACCTGGTGTATTCACATGAAAGGTAACGAGGAAGGGTGGCTTGGCCCACTTGATTATCAAATGTAGCCTAAAATGACTATAATGAAAACAGTATGGGGTTGACCCAAGGAAAGATCAGCAGAGCCAAATAGAGGGATGAGAAAGGGAACGCCCCTAAATCGGTAGGGAAAGGCTGGGTTCTTTGAAAAATTGTTGGTGTTCGCAAAATTGGCAGGCATCTGGCAGAAAAAAAAACCCCAAAGTTTATGTCTCACATACAATATATTCTGCTACTGAGTTTATCCAGTGAATATTCTACTTACAGGGTCAGGGTTCCTGGACTTTGAGGAGGGCCAGGGACAGAGGCCAGTTTAGTCAGTGGGTTTCCATCCTTGCTAGCTGAACTCCACTGTTTATAAACACATTGGAAAACAGCCGGGAGAAAACATCCAGCTTGTTCCTCACTGACTCCCTAGACACGGTTCAGGCACTCGGCACGAGGGGAGGTGGGACAGTCCATCCTTCTACCTGTTGATAACAATATAGCTGACACGAGTCCAGTGCTTACTCTCCATGAGCACTTAATTAAGCCTTCTCCGTGCAAGCCTCATAGAACGCTAACGTGGTGAGCGCAGCCGCCACTTCCAATTCGCAGCTGAGAAAACACCAGCAAGTGGGGCAGACAGGTACCTTCCCCCCTTGCATCAAAGCAGGCGGCCCACGGCGGTGGAAAGAGACGCAGGGTTGAAGGGAGCCTGCTGGACCTGGTGTAAAAAAATAGGCCAGATGAATTAGGCTAATGTTTATTTTTTTTTTTAAAAAAAAGCACTTTGCGAATTTCCATGTAGGTCACTCAGAAAGCCACCCTTACCTTTCCTGGTAGAAAAGGGATCTCTGTGTGCAATGTGCGGCTCTACCGCCATCTAGTGGCGGCTGCTGGGTACCGCATGTGAGGAAGAGCTCGTGTCTCTGCTCACACCATCCTTGCATGCTGGGTGAACCCAGCAGGGGGCTCGCTGGCCTCCTGGGACAAGAGGCGAGCACACGGGAGTTCCTGTAGGAATTCTGAGCCACGCGTGTGTCCTCACCTTGACTGCGACCCTTGTTTGAGGCCCAACCCTGAGTGTCCCAGTGGCTGTTTCCAGTCTGACTGCACGCTTGGCAGGCACGCGTGAGCAGTGGGACCTGGGTGAGAGCTCCAGGTTGCTGAGCTCCCACGCCGGTGCCTTTTCCTCCGAACCAGGACTCCTTTCTGTGCAAGTGAGTCATCGGCACGGGCATGTGTCTCCACCCTATCAGACGGCGGTTGTGCTAATCGTTCTTCAAGGCCGCCTGGAACCCAGACAGTCCTTAAAACTATATGGCGGAAGATACCCTGGGCAGGGACTTAGAGGACTTGGGCTTTTGTTCTGGTTTTGAGAGTAATTGGCTGTGTGGCCCCGGGCACATCCCTTTCTTTCTGTTTCCCCACTCATTTAATGAGGGGTTGAATTTTGGCTCTGGAATTCTTTAAGCTTGTGATGATATGTGTACCTGTGCTTTAAACTACACTAAGTCTTATCCATCCATCCACCCACCATACATCCAATGAACCATCCATTTATCCCTCTATCCATCCATCCACCCACCCATACAGCCCATGAACCATCCATCTATTCCATCTATGCATTCATTTATCCACACCCATCCACCCACCATACATCCAATGAACCATCCATTTATCCATTCATTCATCCACATCCATCCGTCCATGCATTATCCTTTCATCCATTTTCCCATCATGATCCATCCTTCCATCCATCTATCCAACAACTATTACTGGTAGTGAATATTGTGCTAGAGACTGGAGAAGAACAAGACACTCATGGTACATGTGTTCATAGAGCTTACGGTCTAGGAGAGGATAAAACTAAACAAATTTTCTCCATATAAGCAACAATCCTCATGATCCAGAAAGCACAAATTGCTATTGGAGCATGTAGGAGGTGAGTCTAACCCAGATCCACCAGAGAGCTTAAATGAAGAGCTGGAGATATATATATATATAAAGGTTGGGGGAAGAATGTTCCAGGCAAAGGAACCGAACGGGCCAAAGTCTCGAGTTGAGTGAGCATGGTGGGTTTGAGGTGCAGATCAGAGTAGTTGCAGCATAGACAGTTGGTGGTGAGTGGTACGGCTAGAGAGGTAAGTAAGCCGGGGCCAGCAGATTGTCAAAAGCCTGTCCTGTTGGGGAGTTTGCTCCTTATCCTAAATGCAGTGAAAAACCGTAAGAGGGTCTAGTACAGAATGTGTCACAAAATCACACTTGGAAAGAGCATCCAGACGCAGCGTGGAGGGAGAGGAGGGCAGGGGCCATTGCCATATCTAGGCCAGTCCTGATGGTGGGCTTGGTGAGGGAAGCCCAGTGCAGAAGGGAGAGAAACGAAGCAGATTTAAGAGCAAACTGGGCAGAACTGGCAGGACTTAGTGATGGGCTGTGGGTGAGAAGTTGGGGGAGTCAGAGGCGGAACCCTGGCTTAGGGGACAGGTCAAGTTCTGCAGGAACGTTCGCTGAGACAGGAGGTTCCTGGGCAGGTCTTGGGGAGACACCAGTGGGGTTTGAGTCGCCCCTCAAACTCTGGTAGACAGTTGTCCATGGAAGGCTGTTTCTTTGACGTCGAGCTGGTAGGAAGGCCGATTTCAGACACTTGCCCCAGCTGGTGTTTCCCTAGATGTCTGCCCCCTCCTCTTTCTAGAAAGCAACACTGGCTCTAGTCCAAGGCCTCCAGCGTGGTCTGTGGACCAGCCTCATGTCGTGGCGCTGGTTGGAAAGTAGAATCCCAGGCCCGACCCAGACCTCCTGATTCAGAACCTACATTTTAACGCGGTTTCCGGTGATTCATTCGTTCAGTCTGAAAAGCTCTGCTTTAGATCCTTGCATCTAGAACATGTTCTCCAAAGTCAATTGGGAGGAGGGGGTTGGAGTTCCAGAGAAGAGGGTAAGCCCAGAGCAGGAGGGATTTTTCTCTTCTGAGGGTCTGTGGTCTCCCATTTCAGAAAGCACCGGTGGCATCTATAGCACTCACAGCCTAGAAGACCCGCATGGCTGTCTGGCACCCCCTTCTACGGCTTTTCTTCCCCCAGGACACCCCGACCCCTATCCGGACACACCCAGGAGCACTCACCCAGAGCGTTGAAGGCAGGTAGCACCTGAAAGGACATTTTCTGCTTGTCTAAGGACATCTGGATGACCCCATCATGTTGGATCTTGATGAAGCGTTCCAGCCCCTTCCTGTACACGTGGTAATCCAGTTGCTCCATAATTATTTTGAGGACTTCTTGTTGGTTTTTCTTCTGATCCTGGAATTGTTTGAAGCGACTGAGGAAGGGGACGAGGGTGCCGTCAGAGTTGCCTCTCAAGACTGTTTTCCGGCCGTAGGATCCACCCTGCCAACAACAGAGAAGCAGATGTGAGACTCTGGCCCTCTGGGGTCACAGGGAACTCCAGCAGTAGTATTTCTCAGCTCAAGTGAAAGCCAAAAATTATCCCCATGGTCTTAAAAAGTGGAGTGGCAGGCATCCATGTGTCCCTGCAAAGACCTGATTGGGATGCGCATAGCAGCACTTTTCATACCGGCCCCAAACTGGAGGCAACTCAAATGGCCATGGACAGTAGAATGTGATGGGCCCACCCATCCTCTGCCACTGGTGCTGAGCACACCGTCCTGGGGCCTGAGGATAGGATCATGTCACCTGCCACTGCTGTTGGTGCTCTGTGCATGTCTTCTGGGAGCCTACTGCCCTGCCTGCCCCCACCTGTCCATACTATCAGGGGACCTGAGGATGGGCTCGCTCCACCTGCTGCCAGCACCCATGCATGCTGTCCGGGGGCCTGGACATTGATCTGCCCTGCCTGCCACCACCAGAGCATGCACGTGCCATCCAGGGGCCTCAGATTACACTGCTGTGCCTACCCAGAATCAAAGCCAAAGCACTCTACTCAACCAATACTGCAGATATATCTACAGGAAAAAGTCTTTCCCTGCAAAAGCCAATCCATAAAATTGGAAGAACTATTACACAATATGTGCAGATATCAATGTAAGGACACAAGAAACATGGGAAAGCAAGGAAACTTCCAAAGGAACATCATAATTCTCCAGTAACAGATCCCCCCCCCCAAAAAAGGAAATGTATGAAATGCCAGAAAAATTCAAAATGAACTCATTGGGATACAGGAGAACACAGATAAACAATACAAAGAAATCAGGAAAACAATCCATGATGTGAATGAGAAATTCAACAGACATAGATACCATAAGAAATGACCAAACAGAAATCCTGGAACTGAAGAATTCAATGAATAAAATAAAAAACACAACCAAGAGCTTCAACAACAGACTAGATCAAGCAGAAGAAAGAATTTCTGAACTCAAAGACAGATCTTTTGAAATAACCCAGTCAGACCAAAAAAAAATGAAAGAAGAAATCTATGTGACATTAGGTTATCATAACATGACCAAATATTTGAACTTTGGGAGTTCCAGAAGGAGAAGAGATGGGCGAAGACGTAGATGCCTATTATTTCTTTCTGTTCCCTGATTGCTCTGGCTAGGACTTTGAGTACTGTGTCAAATAAGAGTGGTAAAAGTGGGCATCCTTGTCTTGTTTTGGTTCTTAAACCCATTTGGTATGATGCTATCTGTGCCCATCAACAGATGAATGAGTAAAGAGAGTGTGGTATATATACACGATGCAATACTATTCAGCCGTCAAAAGAATGAAATCCTGCCATTTGCAGTAATAGAGATGGAACTAGAGGTCATTATGTTAAGTGAAATTATCCAGGCACAGAAAGACAAATATCACATGTTTTTAGTTATATGTGGGAACTAAAAAAGTTGATCTCATGGAGGTGGAGAGTAGTTACCAGAGGCTGGGAAGGGTGGTGGGGGACAAAGGGAGGTTGGTTAATGGGTACACACATAGTTAGACAGGAGGAATAAGTTCTAGTGTCTGATGGGACAGGAGGGTGACTATAGTTAATGATAATTTAGTGCATATTTCAAAATAGCTAGTAGAGAAGACCTGAAATGTTCCCAGCACAAAGAGACGATAAACGTTTGAGGCGATGGATATCCTAATTGCACTGATTTGATCAATACACTTTGTATCCATGTTTCAAAATATCACAGGTACCTCATAAATATGTGCAATTATTATGTATCAATAAAAAAACAATAGAGTGGACAAATGTGGCACATTCACACAACGGAATACTACGCAACAATGAAAATGATCCACGACTGCATGTAGCGACATTCATTTCATAAACCTGATGGGTCGAAGAAACCACACACAAAAGCTCATGCAGCACGTGATGCCATTTACATAGGGCGACCGGCACATCCTGCTTCTCGCCCCCGGTTTTAGCGCTGAGAGTCCCACCTCCCAGGAAACGCCGCAATCCTGGGCAAACTGGGTTGACTGTTCACCCTACATTTACAGAAAGTTAGACAACAAGCAAAACTAATCTATGCTATCAGAAATCAGGAGACTGGCTACCTGGGGTTGGGGGCCTACCAGATAGGGGGCCTAGGGCTCTTGGGGCACTGGGAATGTTCTGTTTCTTTTTTTTTTTGAGACAGAGTCTCACTCTGTTGCCCAGGCTAGAGTGCCCTGGCGTCAGCCTAGCTCACAGCAACCTCTGACTCCTGGGCTCAAGCAATCCTTCTGCCTCAGCCTCCCGAGTAGCTGGGACTACAGGCATGCGCCACCATGCCCGGCTAATTTTTTCTTTGTATTTTTAGTTGGCTAATTAATTTCTTTCTGTTTTTTAGTAGAGATGGGGTCTCTCTCTTGCTCAGGCTGGTTTCAAACTCCTGACCTTGAGCGAACCTCCCACCTGGGCCTCCCAGAGTGCTAGGATTACAGGCATGAACCACCGCACCCGGCCTGTTCTGTTTCTTTATCTGTGTATGGGTTACACAGGCAACTCGTCAAACCGCACACTTAGATCTGTGTGCTTTTCTTTGTATATATTTTACTTCAATGAGCAAAAATGTTAATAATATTTAGAAGCAGGATGGCTTAGTAGTCAAACATGTGTGCCTTAAGCAGGTTGCCCAGGCTTAAACCCCAGCTCTGACACCAGCTATTAAATAACTGGACTTGCCTCAGTTTCCTCCCCGGGGCCAGGGCAGGGGACGCCACGTGTCTAGATTTCTTTACTGCAGGGCTAGAGGGTGGGCGCAGAGGCAGAGGCCAGAGAGTGTTGCCGCTGCAGAGAGGCGGGTGTTGGCAGCGCTGGAGGGTCAGCAGGTGGTGTTGGGACATTAGGACCCTTGTCCGCTGCCCCATCCCAGGGTCCCAGCACGTTCATAGCCCCCCTTCCCCCCAGAGCTCCAGCACCTTCAGCCTCAGTCCTGGAATTTGTGACCATAGCACGAAACATTTCTAACAGACGAGAGCCGCCGCCCCTCGCTGCTGAGAAACCACAGAGCAGCGGCCCTCAAACTTTTTAAACAGGGGGCCAGGGCCAGTTCACGGTCCCTCAGACCGTTGGAGAGCACGGTGCACATTCCACACATGCGCACTGTGGGCCCGGGACGAGACGGCTGCTAAGCAGGACAGGCAGCAGTGGCAAAATCACCCAGCGGGCCGGATAAATGTCCTCGGCGGGCCGCATGTGGCCCGCAGGCCATAGTTTGAGGACAGCTGGCACAGAGCAAGGTTGGATAGTTTGACCAAGGTCCTTCAGCCTCAGTTTACTCCTCTGTACTATGGGGAAGATAGAAATAATAACAGTGACTAACAGCAGCTCGTGCCTCGAGCACTAACTATGTGTCAGGCCCTGTGCTAAGCACATTTTAGGCTTGAGCCTTTCGATTCTTTGAAGTGGGAACCCCGTCTCTCCCCATTTTACAGATTTGGAGACTGAGGCTCAGAGAGGGTAAGCAGCCTGCCCAGCGTCACACAACCAGTCAAGGGAAGAGACTGGCCCGAAGCCTCCACAACATACCCCAGCCCGGGTGTGGGCCTGGCGCCTCGAAGGGGCTCAGCCCCGTGGAACCTCCTGGCTCTCAGAACCCTGAGCCCGGCCCCGGACTCACTTTGGCTACTCCGTGTACCGCAGGGAAGCACTCCCTGTACTGCAGGGTGTCACAGATGAAGTCCACCGCATAGTCGAGCAACTCCTGACAGTCTCTGTGGAGCACCAGGTGTTCGTAGATAAAATCATCCAGCTCCAGAGCATGCATGGAGTATAACCGGGACTCCTGGTTTCCCATCGCTCCCTCCTGGCTGCCCGGACGCCAGCAAACGGGAGCCAAGATCTCCCTCTGCCGCCCAAGCCCAGAAAGGGAAATGGAAATCTAGAGGCCCTTGCCCCGCCCCTGTGGCCAGGTTGCTACTTCCTGTCCCCAGAGCTGGGAAACCAAAACTTAGGCCAGGAAGTCTCTGCCCTGGCCCCTGGGCTGTGGCTGCCAGGCCTGCTCCCTCCCAGAGCTGGGAAACCAGAACTCAAGTGCAGAAGCCCCTGCCCTGCCCGCCCTGCGGCTGACCTCACCAGCCTGCAGCGGCTCCCAGGGAAAGTTCGAGGCTAAACGCAGCATCCAGAGCCCCGCGGTGAGGGCTCCACATATGCTGGACCTCTTTGTGCCTCAATTTCCCCATCTGTAGAATGGGGGAAAAATGGTACCTCTGTCACAGGGTTCACGTGAGGATCCAATAATATCTGCAAAGTGCTTAGCACAGGGTGACAAACGCAGAGGCAGAGGGCCGTCCCTTTCTCCCTGTTCTCAGTGGCCAGGGAGCTCAGGCTCAGGGACGGCAGCAGAGAGGAGAGAGAGACCCAGAGAGGGCGCTGGCTTGCCCACAGACACACAGCAAGGCGGGGACTGAGCTGGACTCGGGGTTCGGTTCTGCCTCTGGGGAGACACGGGCCCCCGCGTGGTCCGTGGGCAGGAGCCTCTGTGTGTGTGGGCGCCTCGCCACACCCGGGGTACAGCTGCAGGGCCTCATGAGACGCTTAGCCCAGCAGCGGCAGGAAACAGGCGCGGAGGGCACAGGCCGGAAGGGAGACAGATGGGCCACACCTGCGCCCGGCGCTGCAAACGCGAGACTCACCGAGGGCTCCCAGTCGGCCGCTGTGGCCCAGCAGGAAAAATCCCTGAGCCGGGAGGGGTAATCAGGTCCTTCCCTGGCGGGATGGTTAATTTTTAGGTGTCAACTTGGTTGAACCAAGGTACTCAGATATTGGGTCAAACATTAGTCTAGATCTTTTAGTGAAGGTACTTTTTTTTTTTTTAGTGGAGATTAACATTTAAATCAGTAGACTTTGAGTAAAGCAAAGCACCTTCTATAACGTGGGTGGGCCTCATCTAATCAGTTGAAGGTTTAAATAGGAAAAACACTGAGCTTTGTCCCAAAAGAGGGGATTCTGTCTGCAGACTCTCAAGGGGGCAGTGGCGACTCTTCCCTGGGTACCCCCCCCTTGCAGATTTTGGACTTGCCAGCTTCCACGATCACGCTGGCCAATTCCTTAAAAAGAAATCTCTCAAAATAAATATACACATATCCTGTTGGTTCTAGTGTTCTGGAGAACCTTGACTAATGAACCTCGCCCTTAAGGGCCTTCCCCGCCCTTATCTAACTTTGACTGGAACACCGAGAGGCAGGCAGGCTGGGCAGGGGTCTTAAACGCTCCTTTTTCAGATGGTAACATGGAGGTTCAGAGAGGTGGGGACATTTGCCCAAGGACACACAGCGAGCAAGTTGTCTGGCTGGGTTCTAACTCCAACATGTTGCCTGATTCCAAGCCTGTGCTTTTTATTTGCTATTTTTAAAAAACACTTTGTTTTGGCCAGACGTGGTGGCTCACGCCAGTAATCCCAGCATTCTGGGAGGCCGAGGCAGGAGGATCGCTCAAGGTCAGTTGTTCGAAACCAGCCAGAGCAAGACACTGTCTCTACTAAAAAGATAGAAAGAAATTAATTGGCCAACTAAAAATATACAGAAAGAAGTTGCTGGGCATGGTGGTGCATGCCTGTAGTCTCAGCTACTTGGAGGCTGAGGCAGAGAGATGGCTTGAGCCCAGGAGTTTGGGTTGCTGTGAGCTAGGCTGACATCACGGCACTCTAGCCCTGACAACAGAGTGAGACTCTGTCTCAAAAAAAAAAAAAAAAAAAAAGGAAAAAAGAAAAACAAAAACACTTTGTTTTGAAATAATTTGCAATGCTGAGAAAATTTGCAACATGGGTACAAAGAACTTCCTTTTTTTTTTTTTTTTACTTTTTAAACTATACAGTGATCTACAGATTTTATTTTTAGCAGGCAGAACTGAGTACTGTGTGAAGTACGTTTTTATTCAGCATATCATGGGGGTACGAATGTTAAGGTTACATATATTGCCCTTGCTCCCCTCCCCCCCGGAGTCAGAGCTTCAAGCGTGCCCATCCCCCAGATGGTGCACGTCGCACTCATTGTGTATGTGTATTCCCATCCCCTCCTCCCCCCAACTGCCTTAGACCCTTCACCCAGAATATTTTGATCACCTTTGCCTCTATTCTTTCTCTGTGTACATTTTATGAGTATTTTTATTCCTGGACCATCTGAGTGCACGTTGCAGGTTTTATGTCCCTTTACTCCTCAATTCTTCAACATATATACCCTGAGAACAAGGATATCTTAATTGCACTAACACAGAACAATGATCCAATCCAGAATTTTAACATCGACACAATGCTATAATCTTTTATAACGCATAAAATGAATATATTCTTACACTGGAATCTTGCCAATTATTCCAATACTCTTTATAGCATCCTCCCTGTTCCCATCTAGGGTCATACATGACACTGAGGTGTCTTGTGTCACAGATGTGTTCTCTGGGAAGCCCAGTGGTGCGGGGCGAGAGTATCTGAGGCAGGCCCACAAGGAGACTAGCCACTTCTCCCCACGCAGCCAAGTCCCTAAGAGAGGGGTCGCCACAGAGGACAAGGAAATTGATAGACCACAGAGAGAAATAAAAGAATACACAGAGATTAAGTCATAGTTTATATATACATACATACATATATATATATGTATATAAAGATCAGATATAACACAGCAGGAGGCACCTAGGAGACTGGTGTATCGCCATAAACGCCAGCAATATGGTTAGATTCATACAGGTTTTTATAATCACAGACATCAATTACCAGGTGTCAGGGTAACATATTTGCATATCAGAATATCAGGGAATGCAGCTGCTAGGGCATACAGGTAGTGGGTTAGGGCTAAAAGTCCTCTCAAGGGGCTTCTAATCTATCCAGGTGAACAAACAGGTACAAAGTCTTTCAGGGGCTAACTTCTAAGTTCTAAGAGGTAGTTGTCAATTAACAAAAGTAAAACAAAACAGGTATAAGTGACTCTATATTTCTTTGATTAGTTATGGTGGACTTGAAGGTAGACAGGAGAGAGCAGGAAGCCCATCTCTAATAAACAGGTTGTTTATAATCACTGGGGTGCATCTCTGGGCAAAGTGCACTCATTGTCTCCGGCTCCCATCCTGTGGGCCATATTTGCCTTGCCTTGTCTCTCAAGACACAGGGTGGACAATAACGCGTGTCGGCAAGGATGTGGAGGCACCGGAACCCTCGTTCACTGCTGTGGTGTGTGTCTGTGTATGTATGTGTGTGTCTGTGTGTGCCGTGTGTATGTCTATGTGTGTCTGTGTGTGCATGTGTATTTATGTATGTTTGTGCATGTGCATGTGTATTTATGTGTGTGTTTGTGCATGTGTATTTATGTGTGTGTGTGTTTGTGCATGTGTATTTATGTGTATGTGTGTCTGTGCATGTGCATGTGTATTTATGGACATGGACACAGGCCTTGGAGCTCCGACTAGGATTGCACCACTGGCTCCCTGGTTCCCGGGACTGGTGGCGTGGACAGAAGCCACAGCACTGACTCTCCTGGGTCTCCAGCTCACAGATGGCATATCATAACCACACGAGCCAATCTCTCATAATCAATTTCTTTCTATAGGTCTCTCTTTTTTAAGACAGGGTCTCACTCTGTCACCTGGGCTAGAGTGCGGTGGCATCATCATAGCTCACTGCAACCTCAAACTCCTGGGCTCAAGTGATCCTTCTGCCTCAGCCTCCTGAGTAGCTGGGATTACAGGCATGCGCCACCATGCCCGGCTAATCTTCTCTCTATATTTTTAGTTGGCCAACTAATTCTTTCTATTTTTAGTGGAGACGGGGTCTTGCATTTCCTCAGGCTGGTTTTGAACTCCTGACCTTGAGCAATCTTCCCGCCTTGACCTCCCAGAGTGCTAGGATTACAGAAAAATTTAAAAAATTAAACTAAATAAAAAAATAACAAAAACCTCAACACTTTCTTTGGGATTGTGCACTTCTTACAATCCAATTCTGGACTTGGTCTTCAGGCCACGGAAGATATGAGCCTCTGTATGCCCTAATGAGAAGGCTCTCTGACTCTCTTGCTCAGCTTTCCATTGTTGATGGATCACAGTAAGTTTTTTGTTATTTTTCTCCAGGGTCCTGGCAAGAGCCACACGATTCCATGATTCCATGGGCGGTGTGTTGCTGCTTCAGACTAGGGCTTCCCAGTATGCTTTGGTATTGGCGAGGGCTGGTGCTTCCTCAGAACTCTCCTGTTTCTCTGTTTTCCCAGCTCTTCTCGTGGGTATATTTTTCCATAAGAACTTTACTAACAACTTGTCTATTTCTACAGAAAAGTGCATATAGGTATTTTTAGGATGATCATTAAGTATACAAATCAACTTAGGGAGAACTGACATCTTTGTGAGGTCAAGTCCTTCTATCCAAGGGGCTGGCTACACTGGGAAGTCCCCCAAAGTTACTGCAGGGCCAATATGCCAATGCCAAGGTGGCCATCGTCAGAGACTGAGGGACTAGAATGAAATACGCCCCCGCTGGGGTCAGGGAGACCCCCTCCCTGCCCCAGCCCAACGACAACCTGGTTCCCACCATCTCGTGATTATCCGAATTGTGGAACCATTCCAAAGGGGACACCCAGGCGGGGATGGGAGGTGCTGAATTGGAACCCACCGCCCGGCCCACCCAGGAGGCGCACGGATGGCTTCTGATGCCCAGGCCAGCGCCACTCTGCTGCCCATAAGTGTTTGTCCTGTGGTCTCAAAAATGTGTGTGGCAGCAGCCAGCACCAATTCAAGAGGTGAAATTCGGGGTCCTCAGAGTTCTAGACTAGGATTCCCAGCCAGTCCGCAAGGTGAGTCCAATTCCAAGACTTTATTAGCACCCTCGGTTTCCTCAACGTTGGTTCAGCACCAAGAGCAGGGGCAGGGGTGGAGGCTGTCAAAACGGCACAGGTAGCAGGAGGTCTTGGCCTCTGAGGCCCCACCCTCTCTGTCTCTGTAGGCCGAAGAAGGCACAGAACAGGCTCTGGGTGGAGCAGAGGAGCTGCTCTTCGGTACCCTCCTCTCTAAGAGTGAGGACAATGAGGGAGGCTCATGGTCATCAGCTGACAAGCCCTGACAGGTGTTTGTGGCTGCAGGAGTCCAGGTCCCTGGGGCTGGAGCCCAGCTTTGTGCATGTGGGGCAGGGATGGGGGCAGCAGCAGCAGCAGAAACTCCCGACCTTGATTCGGCTGCTGTGATCTAATCTTGAAACCAGCAGTCCAGTGGTGGCTCTGCCTTCTGCTCCTCCAGCCTGGCCAGTGATTTGGATGAAATCCCTCCGTGCTTAAGATTTCTAGAGCGCTTCCTGTTTTCTGGGCTGAGCCTTGACTGATGTGGGCACCGTCACTGGACTTGTGGTCAAGAGTGCCTCCTGCAGGGGCCTGCTGGGTTTGCTCCGGAGGGCAGAGGGAAGCGGGCTGGGGACTGTGCTTGGGCATGGGCTCAGCTTCAGGCTCCGGGGATGCAGAATCGTATCGGTGGCATTCCAGCAGGTTAGGGGAGAAAACAGGAACCAGTAAAAATTCAGGAAGGCAAACTGAGCCATGGCATCGAGCCGTGTAAACTGAGGCAGGAGCGCAGCAGGCAAGGCGAAGAAAAGGAGGCCTCTGATGCAAAGGCAGCCAGTTAGGTGTCCCCCGAGAGGGTCCCCATAGCATGCATTCCCCCAGCTCCCTCTGTCTGTGTCTGTGGCAGGCAAAGCAAGCAGATCTGGGCATGCTCCCTGCTAGCAACTGAGCTCAGAAAGCTTCCCGATAGCGTAGACACACACTGTAGGACCGTGAGCACATTCTCCTTTTGGCATCCAGGCCAGACATTGCTAATCAACTATGGCACTAGTACCACCATGTTCTTATACTGCATCCACGGCAGACATCACTAATTGATTAGGCCACTCTTCTTAGCTAAGTGTCTATTCTTTAAAATCCTTCAGAACGTAGGGCTCCAGGCAGCCTGTGCCAAATGATTGTGGCTGATAAATGAGATGGAAACTCTTTATCATTCCTGTAAAAAGAGCTTGGGTTTGGGAAGAAGCTGAGGCCATCAGGAGGTAGGGATGGGCTGCAGCAAGAGGAAGGAGGTGAGCTTGTTTGGATGGGCAGAGGGAAGTCAGGGAGGAGGGGGCTTTCTCAGCAGGGGTGGGATGCAGCCCTGGTGGATGTGAGGACAGAGTCAGGGGGTGATGGAGAAGCTGCAAACGCAGGCTGGTCCCAAACGGTGGAGTCTAACCCCGTGCACAGGCCACAGACGACAGCGGAGTGTGCGCGCAGGGGAAGTGGGTTCACTGAGACACACACACACACACACACTCATCTGGCAGGGGACCCCGAGTCTCCCCACGCTGAGGGCCGGTGTCTATCTTCTGTCCATCCAGTACGACCACGGATGTCCTGGACCTCACACAGCAGCCTGGGGAGGGTGTCACGGAAGATGTTGTGAGCCCCACCCTCCCCGCGGAAGCCGCACCACGTGGCCAGAGGGGAAATGCAGGCGCAGGGGCACGCCTGGGGCTAAGACTTTGGGAGGAGCCATGCCACAGCCCCGGCCCCACCGACCACACTTCCCCCGGCAAAGGACGCTCCTTCCGCGTCACAGACCTCTCACCTTCACCGGCCATGGCCGGATGGGGGTGCCATCCCTGCCTGTGCAGCACAGCGCCGACGCGCAGGCCGCGGCTTCCTTGGCCAGCAGGTCCCAGCGTGCATTGTGGCCCAGGTTGCCGGTCGGGTCAGCCGGATCCAGGATGATGGGCCTGCAATCCCCACCCGGGGTCAGTCTCACTCCTGGCAACATCCAGATGTCCATGTGTGGCACTGGCTGGACTATCTGTCCCTACACCTTACACTATGCAGGGGCCAGGGGAAGGGCTCAGAGACGCCTCAGAGCCCCAGGAACACACCCCGGGACAGGGACAGAAAATAAGCTACACGTGGACCACTTCTCCAAGATGCACCAGGCAGACATTACCAATCCATCTCAGTGCTATCGCTTACCCCTTCGGCACATGAAGCAGGCATTGCTAATCAATCACAGCACTGGTTCCACCACTCTCCCTGCATCCGTGTTACAGGTCATGTATCTTTTACCCAGAATGCTTGGGACCAGAAGTGTTTCAGATTGCAGATTTTTTTTGGACTTTGGCATATTTGTATCACTTACCAGTGGAGCATCCCTAATCCAAAAATCTGAAATCCGAAATGCTCCGATGAGCATTTTCCTTGAGCATTTTCTTTGGCACCCAGGACATTTTGGATTTCGGACCATTTTGAAATTTGGACTTTTGGATTAGGGATGCCCAACCTGTAGACACCACTAACTTCTTAGGCTACTCTTTTCAGCTGAGCCAAATCGCAAACACAAAATCTTTTCAACATGTCATTCTAAGTAGCCACCACATACTGGCTGGAGATGCATCATGAGTTTGCAAAAGCATCTCTGATCTTCTGTACCCATTTCAGAGGTAGGCAAAATCCCAAAGAAGGAGACACGCTTATGTTTCTTGATGGGTTCACAGGTAGGACTGCCAGATTCAACAAATTCAAATACAGGACGCCCACTTAAACTTGAGTTTCAGATAAACAACGAATAACTTTTTAAGCATAATTACGCCCCAAATGTTGCATGAGACATGCTTATACTAAAAAGCTACTTATTGCTTATCTGCAACTCAAATTTAACTTGGAATCTTGCATTTTTTTCTGACAACCCCTATTCACAGGTGACTAGGAAACTGACTGCCTGACCCTCAGGTGCGAAGAATACCACTTCTAGAAAGGGACTCAGTCCTGGAAAGAGGGCCTTCCTGTCTCTGCTCTGTGATCTAGGAGGAGGGGAGAGAGTGGGTGGCCCCAGATCTGAGACTCGGGCACGTTCGGGGTGGACCGGAACCTGGGTTTTTGAAGCTGCAGTTTCAGGAAGTCTCCGACGGCCTCATCCTCAGCCTTGTAGTTGATGGTCCAGTAGACGCAGAGCTGGCGGTACTGCGTGATCAGCTCCAGGACGGTGCGGAAGCCCTCAGCCATGCTGAACTGGGAGTCCTGCCCGCCCTGCTCCCAGGCGTACACCGCCAGGAGCTCCAGCCCGTGCTGGGGCGGCAGGGAGCCTCTCCCCTTGGGCATCTTGCTGCACTGCGAACAAGGAGAAAGAAGATGTGTTGGTCCCTGCTGCCCACTATGTGGTACAAGGGAGACCCCTCTGGGGTTGGTAAGCTGACCCCCAAACCTCTGTTGAGCACCTACATGCGCCAGCTGCCTTCCATGCATGCGTCTGTCCCATCAAATCCTGGGACATAGTTACATCAGCCCCATTTTACAGATAGGAAAACTAAGGTCCCACAGCTAGGATATAACTCTCTTTCTGCTCCACCAACCCCGTGTCCTGGCCGGGGCTGGGCCCTGCCTCCTCGCAGGAAAGCACTCCGGGGGCAGGGCCCACGGCAGCGGGGACAGGTGGCCACCCCTGTGCCGGACCTGCCGGTACCAGTGCTTCACCAGCCGGATCAGACTCTTCAGCTTGGTGGGGCGGGAGATGACGAAGTCCCGCTGCAGCTCGGTGAAGCAGGGGGAGTACTCGCCCGCGTTGCCGTAGCTGCGGATGAGGCTGCCGTAGACCTGGGGGCTGGGCCGAGAGCCGGAGGCCAGCTGACCTGCAGCGGGGACACGGTTTCCGTCACCCCCTGTCCCGAGGAGTCCCGGCGGGCCCACTCGGGAAGAACCTCTGAGATCACCTCCGTGGGCATTTCCCTAAGCGCAGTCGGGGACCCAACTGGGAGGCCACCGGGTGTTTTCAGGTGGAACGTAGTTGTGGCATGACCACATTAAATCCCAGTGAGAAACGTAGTCCCTTTTCTGCTCCCTTTCAACCTGTCACGAAGAAAGTCTCAGCCGGGAGCTGACACGCCTTTAACACCCTGTGGCGCTTGCTCAGCCCCCCCCCAACGACGCCTCTGTCGCCGAGCCTCCCGCAGGTGACAGAGTCGAGCCTCCCGCAGGTGACAGAATCGAGCCTCCCGCAGGTGACAGAATCGAGCCTCCCGCAGGTGACAGAATCGTGCGTGGCAAGGCGTGGATGTCGCCGTTCTGGTTTCATTCCTTAACATCCCAACGCCTGCCCCCCAAGCTGAGGGGCGGGACAGGCTCACAGAAATTCCTGCGTGAGCCCCTCCCTCGCCGCTCGCCCTCCAAATCTCAGGAACCAAACACCCCCAGACACGGGGAGCTGTCTCACTCTGCGGACTCTCCTAGTCGATCTCAGAGCTGAGGAAACAGGAGGAGAGTTGTGTCTGTTTTATTCCCAGCTTGTGCCTGGAGGAGCACTGGACACGGAGTCCACAGAGTGGGTGCATTTACTGAATGGACAGAATGAACGGCTCTGTGGCAGGTGGAGGAGGCAGCACGAAGACACTCAAAGCTGGGGACGTGCCGAGACACTTCAGTGTCCTCATCATCAGATGAAGGCACTGCGGCTCAGGCTTGGGAAATCTCTCGCTTGAGGCCATCCAGCACGTTGGTGGCACTGTGACTGAGACGCAGCTTGGAGCCACCGTTAGCCTATACAGCATCTCCGTGTGAGTTAGAAAAAGGCACCATTTTCTCCAGGCACCTTGCAGAAAAGCTGTGATAAACACACATACCTGCAGCACCTGTGAGGTGCACAGAGGTGGCCTGGTTGTGCACTGCACGACCTCTACAACTGTCCATGACGACCCTGCTTCTGCTCTGCCCCTTCTCAAGCCTACGCCTGGGTACTTGCCTAGGGCGTCAAAGGCTGGCAGCACGTCGAAGTCCACGCTCTGGTCCAGCACCGTCTGCGATGTCAGCGAGAAGCTCAGCACGCGGGGATTCTCCCACTTGGAGACCTCGAACTTGACCTCGAACTGCTGCTCCCGCTGACATGCCTCCAGCTGGGCTCGGATCTCCGAGATGATCTCAGCCCGCATGTTCCCCTGCTCGGTGAACCGGCTGAAGCAGCTGAGGAACACCACTAGGTCGGCGTCCGAGCGGCCTTGCAGAGCTGTGCCTTTGGCTAAAGAGCCACCCTGGGGGGGACATGGCGGGTGGCTTGACCTTTGAGGTGTGGCGTGGCATCCTCCTGCCTGTGGACTCTGGATTCTGAGTTAGGAAACATGCTGTGTGATCCTGGGCAAGTCACCTAACCTCTCTGTCTTACGTCTTCAATATGGCATGGTTGTAAGAAAAAGAAGCGTGCAAGACGTAAATTTAAACCCTTCAACAAATGCAGAAGTTTCCACTCCATGGTGTTTTGGGGTAGGGGGAGCATGCATTTGAGAGTTTTGTTTATTCGTTTTGTTTGGTTTTGAGGCACTCAAGCCTGCCTTCATCTGGAGAGCTTTTACAGGAGACTGATGGCTAGCTCCTGTGCCCTGAGACTGTGATTTAATTTTGTTTAGGATGGGGCTTGGGCATCAGGATATCTTCTAAAAACCTCTGTGATTCCAGTGTGAAGCCTGTGAAGGCAGGTTTGAGTGAGCCAATCTGCCCTCCGCAAGTGTTATGGATGGGGAAGGCGAGGATCAGAGAGGGTAAAGTATTTACCTGGGGTCACACAGCAATCAGCAGCCCTGGGCCTTTTCCCTGGCTGACTCTGTGCTAACACTCTTTCTAGAGCTGACCTGGCTGTCACCTGTGTCTCTCCAGTTGTGGACTGAGGCTATATCTAGTGCAGTAGACAATGTGACTTCTTGTAGTTCCCTGGCATTCTTCCCACCTGGGATCAGCATCCTGGTTTTCTTTGGAGGGACCACCCCTCCCCCACGTTCCACCCATAAAGTCTAGGTGGGGCTCGCTTTGCCATGTGACCCAGGCTTGGCCACTCAGAGCACGCTGTCTTCCTAGCCTCAGTGTCTGGTTTATGGGGACATACGTTACCCAAGCCAGGCCAATGGAATTCAATTCCAAGACTTTTATTTGAATTTTGAAAAAAGAAAATTCCCTTTCTGGAAGCTTAGAGTTGCCAAAGACCATCTTATGGTAAGGAACTGTCTAAGATATAAAAAACAGAGTCAAGGAAAGGAAAGAAAAGCTGAGTCCTGCTGTCGCTGTGTGGGCTCCTGGATCTGGCTATGCCTGAAGGCAGCTCTAATCCAGGGCTTCCCAGTTACATCAGTCAACATATTCCTTTGTTGCCTCTTTGGAGTTGGGTGTCACCAGCAACCAAAAGAGACTTGTTGGACATACCTAGGCCCTCCCTCTGCCATCTACCCAGGACCACTTTCTGGCCTTTTCTCTAAGCCTGGCTTTGTGCTGGTTGCTGCAATGGCCACAGGACTGGGTCAGGCGTGGCCCTGGCCTGGGGGAGATCACCAGGCTGCGGGACACTGCTTGCCTAAAGCTCTCTGGGGACTCACCTTGACCACCTTAATCACTTTGATGGGAGACTTCCGGAAGCAGTTTTCCCTCAGGAACGAGCAGATGGTGTCGATGGCCTTGTTCACCTGCGCCAGGAACTGGCGGTTGGGCTGCAGGAATTCACTGATGAACTTGTCAAGGTCCCCGGCTGGGGTCTGGTAAAGGAGCGCTGGCTGCAGAGAGAACCCAGGGTGGGGCCAGCTCGAGACAGGACCCCCGAGGAAGACCCGAGCCCTGTCCCTCGACATCTCTGAGGGCAAGTCTCCCACTGTCTCCCACGTTCCCTTTTTCTTCTCAGCTGGTTGGCAAGTCCTGAAGTAGCATCAGGAGGACCTGAGTTCGAGTTTTGGTTCCACTACCCCCGCACAGCCTCAGTTTCCCCATCTTTAAATAGGTGCAACCATGAGGCCCACGTCTCACTGGATTGTCTAGAGCAGGGGTCCTCAAACTTTTTAAACAGGGGGCCAGTTCACTGTCCCTCAGACCGTTGGAGGGCCGGACTATAGTTTTAAAAAAAACTATGAACAAATTCCTATGCACACTGCACATATCTTATTTTGAAGTAAAAAAAGAAACGGGCAAAAACACCCACATGTGGCCCACGGGCCATAGTTTGAGGATGCCTGGTCTAGAGTGTTAAGCACTGATTATGAGACCCTGCTGCAAAATAGCAAACGTGATAAAATCATATCCCTTTGGGACCTGCAAGTAGTTTATGTCTTAGATCGGTTTCCCTAGAAGCAGAGCTGCAGTGGGATTCTTGTGCATGAGATTCATCGGGGCACTGCTCACAGGAGAAGAGGAATGAGGACAGCAGGAGACGGTGGGGCAGGAGCTCCGCAAGGCTGGGGGCTCAGCTGGAGGCACGCCTTTGCCTGATCCCACAGAAAACCCTGATGCATGAACTGCCTCACAGAGTTGGTCCTGCCTTGAGACAAGGTGGGCCTTTGGTAGCCCTGTCACTCGGGCACTGGCTGGGATGTAGTAACCTGTGCCTCTCACGGAGGGCCGGTCTCCAGGAAATGGGGCAGATGTAAGCCGGCAACAGCCAAGGCTCCTGGCAGCCGGCGATGCATGCATCAGTAGGTTAAGGGGACCTAGGAGGGGGAAGGTCCCCCTGGGAGGGGACCCACCACCCCAGGGCCCTGCCCCTTACCATCACATCCCAGGGTTGTACTGGTGTCCCGTCTCTACTCGTACAGCAGGCCTGTGTACTCAGCACTCCTGCTTCCTGGGCCAGCAGCTCCCAGCTACCCTGGCCCACATTCCAGGTGGGGTCGGCAGGGTCCAGGATCAGGGGCCTGGGGGTACAGCAGGTGGGAAGGTATGTGGGGGTCAGTGAGGGAGCAGGTGGTGGGAGGGCTAAGAAGAGTGTCAGGACCTCAGGATTGACCCAGGCTCGCCCAAGGAAAGAGTCCTAACTGGCTGCGTCAGTCAGGAAGCTATTTGGTGGCTCTTACATTGAGAATTAGTATTTCATCATGCTAAGAAAATTGGTCTTGGTTTCCTCTGGGGCTACTTGTGTCCACACTTTCTCAACAAGGAGTCCAGGGGAAGCAGAGTGAAGGGCGGGGTTGCCGACCCAAACCCCGCCTTGGACCCCTCCTGGGTGACTGACTCCAGGGTGACAGCAGGGAGAGAGGAGGGTAATGAAGACGGGTGAGGGGAAGCGGGACTGCACCTGGGTTTCCGAAGCTGGCCAAGAAGGTGCGTTCTCAGAGCTGGGTCCTCAACGCTATAGTTGACTGTCCAGTAGATACAGAGTTGCTGATACTGTTGGACAAGCCCCAGGACAGTCCGGAGGCCTTCCGCCATGTCGAAACGGTCCTTCCCACAGCCCTGCTCCCAGGCAAAGACGGTCAGGAGCTCCAGGGCATAGACTGGGGGCAAAGAGGCACGGGCTGGCCCTTCTCCTTTGTTCTGAGCTGCAACCTACGTCACCCAAGACCAATAAAAGATCAGGGGGTGTGAGCCCCTGCTGTGCACAAGGCACAGCCCAGAGCACTTGGGGAAGGAGGGGAATATATAAAACAGAAAGAACAGAAACTTAGAGACGGCCTAGCTCATGCTTCTTATTTTATATACAGGTGGGTAAACTGAGGTCTAGAGGAAGGCAGTGACTTGGTCAAGGTCACAGAGTGAGACTGAGAGGTCAGACGTGGCCTTTGCCTGCTGTTTCCTCTCAATGTACGGGAATGGGGGCTGGAACGTGTCCACCCTGGTATCCCAACACCCATCACAACAGTTAGCAACAGTGGGTGCTCAATAGATGCTTGCTGAGTGAGTGCATGCATGCAAGTCGGCATTCAGAGAAGGGCTTAGTAAGGGAGCGCCAAAGGACGCTCAGGGTTTAGCACGACTTGCAAAGATGTGGTGGGAACAGCGCAAGCAAACGCTTGGAGGTGGGAAAAAACAGAGAACACATTAGCCGTGGGGAAAGAGAGCAGAAACAGGGGGCTAGAGACGGACAGTGAACCCTAGCTACAAGAATTGAGGACTCTGGACTTAGTGCAGAAGACATTCTATCTCCCAGGGGCTTCCATATCTACGGACAGGAAATCGATAATGGAGGAGGTGGTACTTCCGCTTTGGATAGCCAATAAGAAGCAAGGGAGGGGAGATGTTGGTGTAGAGGAGAAGCTGATTGGCTGAGGCAGTTGCCATGGTAGTACCTGCTTCCCTGGAGGAGCCACCGGGTACTTACCTGGTGGTACCAGTGCTTCACGAGCAGAATCAGGTTCTTCAGCTTGACTGGGCGGGTGTTCACGAAGTTTCTCCGCAGCTCAGCGAAGCAGGCAGCACACTCCCCTTCCTGGCAGCCGCTGTTGAGGAGGGTCGAGTAGACCTGGGGATTAGGTTTGGCGCCAGAGCCGAGCTGCCCTGTGGAAGTTTGAAACGCTCTTGAGTGTGTGACTCTAGCGGAAGGCAGCAGCCTTTGCCAACCCATCCATTCACCAGCCTTTTAACGTGAATCACATAACGTTGCAATCAGTGACACACTATGACGTTTAATAACAATCAGAATTATCATTTTTTAAAGCATCAATTATGTACTGGGTGCTTTCCAATCATTTTTGTTAATCTACCCAATAACTTTGCAAGATAGATCATCTTGATCCCAGAAAAGCTGCGTAGCACAGCGGTTAAGGGAATGAGCTTTGGGAGACAGAGAGAACTGGGTCCATAGCCAAGCAGTGTGATATTGCCTCTCGGGATCTAGTTCCCTCATCTGTAAAGAAGGGCATCATAAATAGCACCCACCCTGATAAGGCTATTGTAACAATTAAATGAAATCTGCACGTAAGGTGCTTAGAACAGTTCTAGAACACATCAGGTGTCAATAAGCATTAACTGTTGCTATTATTAATGTTGTCATCTTGCAGAAGAAAAAAACCAAGGCATAGAGAGAAAGCTAAAATTGATTCCCACTTCCCACTTTCACAAGGCTGGCTTCTGGAATAAATGCTTTCTCCTAGAAATGTGACTAAGAAAGGTCACCCACCAGCAGAGAGAGGCTTGAAGGAAGCTTGCTGCTAGAGATATGGGTGGGGGGGAAAGAATATCTTGCATGAGATACCGAGACCCCAATCCTATGCTAGACGTGGGTGTGAAGTCCAACCTTGCATCCTGTACATGGTGAGGAAATCCCAGGCTGTTCAATTAATGTAAAACCTGGCCTGGGAATTAGTGAAACTCCTGGAGTTCAGCTAGAAGCAAAATGAAAGCTGGGTCCCCAAGCTTTTCCAACCCAGAGCACAAGAAAATTTTACAGGAAAAGGAAAGACAATAAAGCTCCACATACTCCAAAGATGAGCTCATGCTAAAAAAATTACAAACCACATGAGGAAATGATCCACCATGAAGGAGAGTCATAGGAAAACTAACATTTCAAGAATTTGAGATTATAGGGCAATCCAAGAGATTAAAATAAACATGTTTAAAATAAAGAGATAAAAGAAACGGAGACCACAAAGAATTGAAGCCTATTAGCAAATAACAGGTTGATTTGAGATAGAACCAAATAGAACTTCTAGAAGTGAAAAGTAAGGTCATTGAAATTAAAAAAAACCATTAAGGATTGGCAGCAGATTAAAAACATTTAAAGAGAGTAAACTGGAAGATAGATCTGAGTGACTGAGAAACAGGAAGATCTGAGACATAAAGAGATGGGAACAATGAAAGAGACAAAAATATGAAGGATGGTGCAAGAAGCCATCTAATAGGAGTTCCAGAAATGGAGAACAAAGAAAATAGGGGAGAGACAATATTCAAAAAGATATTGGAAGACATTTTCCCAAAACTAAGGGAAGAACTGAGTTCTCAGATTCAGAAGGCACAATACATTCTAAACAGGATAAAGAAAAAGAAATTTATGCACAGGTGATACATCAAAGAGAAACTGAAGAATACTATGAACCAAGAGGAAGTCTTAAAAGCTACCAAAGGGAAATCAAAACAAATGAACAATCAAAAAAAACCACACACACAAACAAAAAACAGATCATTTGCAAAAAAATAACAGAGAGCAGACTTCTCAGTAACAGCAGAGGGCAGAAGACAGAAGAGGGAAAACAAGTGTCAAACACTTCGTTCAAGCACGAAGGTGAAACAGAAAGGATCTTAGACAAAGTCTGAGAAAATGTATCACTCATAAACCCTTTCTGGAAAAGTGCTAAAAGATGTATTTCTGTAGGAAAGAAATAAATCCAGAAGGAAGAAGTGGAAATGGTGGGCCGGGCGCGGTGGCTCATGCCTGTAATCCTAGCACTCTGGGTGGATTGCTCAAGGTCAGGAGTTCGGAACCAGCCTGAGCAAGAGCAAGACCCTGTCTCTACTATAAATAGAAAGAAATTAATTGGCCAACTAATATATATAGAAAAAATTAGCCGAGCATGGCGGCACATGCCTGTAGTCCCAGCTACTCAGGAGACTGAGGCAGAAGGATCGCATGAGCCCAGGAGTTTGAGGTTGCTGTGAGCGAGGCTGATGCCACGGCACTCACTCTAGCCTGGGCAACAAACTGAGACTCTGTCTCAAAGTAAATAAATAAATAATAAAAAATAAGTAATGGTGAAAAACATTATAAATTATGGTCATAGATTTTAATTTGAATAGACTAAAGAAAACCAAACCAAAAGAAATAATCTTCTCTATTATTAGTGTCTTGTACTTTGGTTCCATATTATTAAACCCTTGAAAGTCATTATATTATTGTTGTTTATTTCCTTTTTGTCTTTTAGCTTTATGCTACTTTTAAAAGGTACAATTACACTTAATAACACATCCTTGAAAATAAAGGATGGAAAAGGTATACCAGGAAAATACTAACAAAAGACTATTAGCTCTATTAAGTCAGACAAAGGACTGTAAGACAAATATAATTTTTAAAAATAATGAGGATTACTTAATGATAAAAGGAACAATCCAATAAAATATAATAATTATCCACTTATATGTTCCCAATAACATAGCCTTAAAATATTAACAGCAAAACTTTCCAGAATTACAAGCAGAAATGGATAAATCTCCATTCAGAGGAGATTTTAAGATATCCCATTCAGAAATTGTTGGGCCAAATGAAAAATTAATAATTTAGATCTGAGCAAAAACTATAAGCTAGATCTAAATGAGCTATATAGAAGTCTGCATTCAACAATGGAAAGCATGCATCCTTTTCAATTACAGGCAACCTAGGAAGGGCCAACAAATTCCAAAGAATTTGGAATATCACATAAAGTATATTTTCTGACAACAATAATAAAAAGAGCAAATGCTGAAAGCAAACAAGTGAACAAAATCTCAAAACATTCATTTGGAAACCCACTTCCAAATATTCATGGGTAAAAGAACAAATTATAAAGTCATTGTTAAAAGTATAAAATATTCAGACCTGAATGATAGTAAAAATTGTACACATTGAAACGTTTGTCAGATATGACGTGGTAGTGATAGGGAAATTTATAGCCTTAATTGCATTTACTAACTTTGGCAATTACTAAGCTAACTATCCCCTCCAAAAATTAAAAAAGGAATCACAAAGTAAGCCCCTTAAAATATGGAAGAAAAGCATCACATGAAATTTCTAAAATAGGACAAAAACAAAACAACAAACCCCCAAACCAAGCAGATATGTTAAACTGTTAACATTTGTTAAATCTTAATTAGGGTACACGGGTGTGCAATGTCTGTAGTTTTCTGTATGTTTGAAACATTTCACAATTAAAATCTTTGTAAAGTGAAAAGTACTGAATAGTTCTAAGATTTGATAGCGATGATTGCTTTAGATATCTCAAAGTAGTTTTCAGTGCTTGGTCAAATGGGGACTTAGGATCACAAAGAGGATGGCAGGTGCCCTCCCACCCTTCTAGATGCTTCCTGGTCCCCTGAGGGTCCTTATCACTCCCCCAGGCGCAGGCTGGCCACCCCTTACCCACGGCATCAAAGGCGGGCAGCAAGCAAACGTCCATCTGGCTTTCCAGGTCCGTGGACACCAGCCGGAACTGCAAGGCCCCAGGTGCGTTCTGCTCAGGAAATCTCAGGCTCAGGTCCGGGACCTGGAGCCGCCACCAGGATTCCAGCTGCGACCGAATCTCATCAAGGATCTCCGCACTGCGGGTCCCCTGGCCCTTGTAGTCGGTGAAGCAGGTGAGGAAGATGATGATTTCCACATCACAGCCGCCCTTTAGGTCCGTGCCCCGGCCGAATGAGCCCCCCTGTGGAGGGAAGAACAGCGCGTACAGTGGCCCTGTGGGAGCCCAGGACTCAGGCCGTGACCCCATCAACCCACCCGAATCTGCAGCCTGGAAACTGCTCTCCCGCGGATGTCGCATGTGGGGCGCCACGACAAAAGAGGCAGACTGCATGAGCCCTGTGACCTCTGGCTCCCAGAAGCCTGGCAAGGGGTCAAGCCGCGTCCACCTGCACCTGCCTTCTGACCCGGGGAGCCCGAGCAAAGTCACACCGATACGAAGCAACCGGGAACCACGGTGGGGCGGAGCAGGGGCAGCGACCAGATTATTTTAGCCAAACATCTGCTGCACCGCCGGGCTGCACATCTGGACCAGCGGTTGCGAATTTGGATTCCAGATCCAAATGGGGCCTGCAGATGAGCTCTGTAGGCCTATTTCAATCAATGCCTCTCCCCACTACCCCCTCCTTCCCTCCCTCCTTTCTTTCCTTCCTTCTTTCCTGCCTGCCTGCCTGCCTGGGACAAAGTTTTATTTGTCCCCCTGCAGGAGGGGACTGGGAGTGTGAGATTGCACATTCTTTTTTAATTGTGTGGTCAGGCTTCAGTGGAAGGGAACACTGGATTGAGGACCCAGAGAAGGGTAGAGAGAGCTGAGCGGATGGAGAAGAGCATTCCAGGAAGACAAAACAGCCCGTGCAGTGGCCTTAACCGTGCAGTGGGCTGCTGAGCTCGGAGCAGCCGGAGGCCAGGGGGGCCCGACCCTACAGGCACTGAGGCCTCTGCACTCACTGAACCCGGGGAGGATTTTGAGCAGAGAAGGGAATTGATCTGATTATTGTAATAGTGGTTAAAAACCACATCATTAAAAACTTAATGGCACTTAAGTGTATTTTATTTAAGACGGCGAACCACCTTTCCACGGCTGTCCAGCTCCCCCGCCCAGATTCAGCCATGTTGCTGTGACTCCTTCCCCCTCCCCACTGTGGTCCCGTGCAGGGTCCCCTCTGTGTCTCCACAGGCCCGACTCACCTTGCTGACTCTTGAGACCTTGTGGTCACTGTTCTCATGGAGGCAGCGCAAGATGACATTGATGGCCCTTTTCACCTGCTCCTGGAACTGGGGGCTTGGCTTCAGGTGGTCCTGGATGAAGCGGTCCAGCTCTTTGGTGGGGGTCTGAGACAGATCCGAGGCTGTCCCCAACACAGAGGGGGCGGTGCTGGCTGCCCCCGAGGGGCCAGGAGCTGGGCGTGAGGGTAGTTTGCTCGCTGTCCTTGGGTGCCCGGCACTGAGGCTCTTGCTGTCTGCAGGGGTCCCCTGGTTAGGGTCTCGCTGGATGGGGTGGCCCAAACCTGAGCACCCGGCACGTGGAAGGCCCTGGAAGGTCATTGAAGGAGCTGCTTCACCCCCTAGGTGCAGAGGTTTCTACATCCTCCCAACTCCTTTTCTCCCCACCTCCCCCCGCCCTCTGTCCAAACAGGGCAACTGAGGCTCAGACAGGAGGATGGGAGGGCCATAGTTAGCCCTCATGGCATTTTTGTGCAGATTGGAAAAAGTGGCTTTCTGGTGGGTAAACTGACGAAAGGGCCCCTTGCAGTGGGGAGAAGCTTGGTAAGCAGGCTCGAGCTGCAGATAGACAAAGGTGCTCCTTCGCCCAGGCAGTTGCAGCCTGGTGATTAGACTATTCTCCATGCTGGCTGTCCCTGCTTTTTCAAGTCTGTTGCACTCTGCATGGCCCTGGGCACATAGTAGATGCTCAGGAAACACTGAACACATACATTAAGTGCAAAACCTAGGGGTTCTGGGGAACCCCTCACTCACCGGGCCCTCCCAGGGCTGCACAGGGACCCCAGACTCCTGCAGAAAGCACGGCTGGTCGTAGCAGGACTCTGCCTCCTGGGCTAGCCGAGCCCAGTGCCAGGCTGCCCCATTCCCCACGTCCCACGTGGGGTCTGACGGGTCCAGGATCACAGGCCTGCAATTCCAGAAAGACAAGACACTTCTGGTTAGCAAGAAGGTCAAGATCGGGTGGTCTGGAGCCAAGCAGACCTGGTTCCAATCCCAACTCTGCTACTTTCCAGCTGTCGGACCTGGGCAGATGCTTTACTTTCTCTGAGCCTCAGTTTCCTCATTTGCAAAACGAGGATAACAGCAATGCCTGCTTTGATGGGCTGTTGCAGAGATTAACTTGATGCAACGGTCCTTAATCCTGTCTGCACATCGTAATCACAAGATACCAGGATGCACCACCGGGGACTCTGAGCTATACCCTGTGACTTAGCAATTTCATTCCTAGGTAAATACCCAACAGATATGCAAATGGTCTCAAAAACATGTGCAAGAATGTTTACAACAGCCCGATTGGCAATAGCTACAAACTGAAAATGACTCAAATGTCCATCATCAGTACAATAGAAAACATATTGTGATAAATTGACGCAATGGAATACTACACAGCAAAGAGACAGAATGAACAACAACTATATGAATAGACCTCAAAGATTTAATGATGAGAAGGAGACACCAGACACAAAAGTATATGCTGTCCAATTCCACTTAAGTAAGATTTAACAACAGGCAAAGCTGTCATGACAAAAGTAAAAAATGGGGTTATTTTTGGGGTGTCACTGGGAAGGGCCCACTGGGTGCTGGAAATATTCTACCTTGATCTGGGTGGTGGTTTCACAGGTACGTGCCCTTTGTAGACAGTTATCAAATATGCACTGTAAAAGTGCACGTTATACGTCAGTAAAACATTCATGCACAAAATATGTGTGGCCAGGAACCAGTATAATTTTTGGTTTTTGTTTTCGTGACACAGGGTCTCACTCTGTTGCCCTAGTGAGAGCGCAGTGGCCCGATCATAGCTCACAGCAACCTCAAACTCCTGGGCTCAAGGGATCCTCCTGCCTCAGCTTCCCGAGTGGCTGGGGCTACAGCGAATGCCACCACGCCCGGCTAATTTTTCTATTTTTTTTTTATAGAGATGGGGGTGGTCGGGGGGAGGGTCTCACTCTTGCTCAGGCTGGTCTCGAACTCCTGACCTCAAGCGATCCACCCACCTCGGCCTCCCAGAGTGCTGGGACTGCATGCGTGAGCCACGGCGCCCCACCTGGCCCCAGTATGCGTTTAAAAACTCTCACAGGTGATTCTAATGTACCTGGGGCTGGAGCCACCAAACCAGAAAGTGCACGTACCGCATTTTGCTTTGGTCCACCCAAGCATCTACTCAAGCCCCGGGTAGAGGTGACCTGTTTTTATCAACGTTAATCATCTCCCCATGGCCTGGGGCAGGGGAGGCGGTCGTGGGGTGTTAGGAGGTACCTGGGTCTCTCAAGCTGCGCCCGTAAGAACCGCGCGACAGCAGGGTCCTCGAAGCCATAGTTGACGGTCCAGAAGACACACAGGTGCTGGTACTGTTGGATCAGGCCCAGGACGGTCCGGAGGCCTCGGGCCAGGCTGAAGGCGTCCTTCCCGCAGCCCTGCTCCCAGGCAAAGATGGTCAGCAGCTCCAGGGCGTAGGGCGGGGGCAGCGTCTCCTTCCCCGCTGCCATTGCCGGGCACACCTGGGAGAGGGCGGGGCAGCGCGCTCAGGACAAAGGGGAGCGAGGAGCGCAAGCTCCCTGCAGAACCAGGCTGGGGACCCTACGGGCTGAGCCTGGACGGGATACTGGGTTCCAAGCCCCTCTGCGCTCACTGCTGCTGACTTCAGCAAAGTGCTTGGCTCATAGGACGGCGTGAGGGAGAGGGAAGGGTTTCAAGTCCCGGGGAAGCAGGGAGCAGTCGGAGAGAAGCCAGCAGGTAGCCTGAAACTGCTCCCTATCCCCCGGGAAAAAGGTGGGGGCAGATCTGGAGTCCCAGCTGGGTGGCTGGTTGGAGAAGACGGGTAGCTTGGTACCCAAGGGGAAGCCACCAGGTCATCGTCCTGCCACCCCTGGAGTGGGGCGGGGCAGCAGACCAGGGTTTTGTCTGTCCCTCCAGCCTCGTGTCCCCCTTCCCCACACGCATGATTTCTGTCTCTGCACCGCATACCTGAGGTCTCCGCACACCGGGCAGGGATTACTCCATGCCACAGCGACAATCCTGGACAACTCAGGAGGGGACACTTCAGGTTGCCAGAAGGTGACCTGCCTGGCCAGGGGCACCCAGCAGCCCCACACTCACTCTGAAACAAGCCTGGTGCACACGTGTACCCCCACCCAGATCCAGATAGAATATTTCTTTCTTTTTTTTTTTTTTTTATATTTTAAACCCCGCCTGCCCACCCACCAGATAGAATATTTCTAACACCCAGGCAGGCTGGCTCCATAGTCTGCCCTTCTCATAAGTAGCAGGTTATTAGTATTTTCTGCCCCCGGAGATCCTGTTTATGTGGGAAGAACCTGAGGAAGACTTACAGACTCATACTCCTTTATGTGCAAGTGGAGGAAACAGGGGCCCAGAGAAGACTAGGAACTTGCCCAGAGTCACACAGCAAGAAGGTGGCTGCGTCAGAATCAGAATCTAGAATCTCCTCATACCCAGACCTGTTTATGGTGAGTGGTCCAATGGAAGGACCAAACCATGTGCCCCAAGATCTTGGGGGACCTGTTTTCTCACCTCCAGGCACGGGCTGGGCAAGCCTCCCCCAATATAGGAGCCTGTCAACAAGCATGGACAGTGCAAGGGGGCATTCCTGAGGCTGGGGCAGGAGGTATGCAAACTCCACATCACCTCCTACCATACATAAGATATTTTAGATAGATCAAAGCCCTAAATATGAAAAGCAATGTGATGAGAAGCAATAGGATGCAAGAAAACATGGGAGGATAACTTTAGAAAATAAGGATAGGGAAAGACTTCTTAGGACGCACAAAGAACAAATCATCTCAAAAAAAGATGAATAGCTGTAATTACATTAAGATTCAAATATTTCCAGTGGCAAATGACCTTTAAACAAAGAAAAAGCACAAGCCACAGAGTGGAAGAATACATTTGCATTGTACTAAATAATAATTAGCATCCACAATATATAAAGAGCTTCAACAAATCAACAACAAGAAGACAGGTAACCCCCAAAGAAAATAATGGACCAAGGACATGAATAGGGAATATCCAGAAAGAGAACGTGCATGGCCACTAAACATAAGAAAACACTTTCATTATTGTTATGAAAATCACAAAGCAATGTCTTGCCTGGAGTAAGGACCCTCCCAAGTGGCTTCACCTGGCGGTACCAGTGCTTCACGAGCAGGATCAGGTTCTTCAGCTTGACTGGGCGGGTGTTCACGAAGTTCCTCCGCAGCTCAGCAAAGCAGGCTGCGTGCTCCCCCGCCTGGCAGCCGCTGTTGAGGAGGGTCGAGTAGACCTGGGGCTTGGGTTTGACGCTGGAGCTGAGCTGCCCTGTTGGTGTGAGGAAGCGTGAGTTAGGAAGGATGCTGGGGACGCAGGGTGGAGGGCGGTGCCGGTGCCGAGCTTAGTTTGGGGCACTGGGAGACGGTGGGGAGAATTTGGAGCGGGGGTGGGGGGGGAGCCTGGCAGCATGGGAGTTGTGGGACTGGGACAATCCCTTCATTGTGTCCTCGCCAAAACCCAGTGAGGCAAGTGCAATTCTTCATCCCATTTTACAGCAGAGGAAGCTGAGGCACAGAGAAATTCCACGTTTTGCCCAAGGTTATAGAGCTGGCAAGTGAGGGGAAGCCAGGATTCGAACTCAGAGCCGGCTGACTTCACAGTGTGTGCCTTTTCCTCCACCACTCCCATGGGTGTGGCTTGGGGAAAGTAAACACCCTCCATGATTCCAGAGGTTGTTGCCACCACTTACCTGCTGTGTAGCTTTGGGAGGGTTACTGTGTCTCTGTGCCTCAGTTTCCCCATTGGTAAAACTAAACCAATTTTAAACTAAACAGTACAGACCTCATAGGTTTGTTATAAAGAATCAACGAGATAAAACATATACTAGGCACAGGGGAAAGGATAAAGCTATCCCCCAGAGTATCAAGGTAAATAATAATAATGATAGAAAAACAACAATAATAGAAATACTAACAGCAAACACTCATATAACCCTTATCACATGCTAGGCACTGTTTTAAGTTTGTTACGTGTTATACATTTAATTCTTCCAACAATGCTATGAGACAGATTACTATTATCGTCAATATTACTATTATCCTCATTTTATGAGGACACAGAGGCATATTTTTTATATTAAGTCAAGCATAGGTAAATTAGGAAGGAAAATGCAAAAATCACATTAATGTTTTTGAAATAAAATACAAGATTTTGCAGCATTCTGGTCTGGTCCTCAGTCCCCCTGTAGCTGGCCACATGTCCACTTGCTTTTGCGTCTGGTGTATTTGAGGAAGGGCTGAGTAAGTACCACTCTGGGCACTGGCTGAAGGCGACCCCAAGATGCTTGCGTGAGGGCCAAGTATCTCGACACCAGGACCACAGATCTGGGAGGAACTAGGCCTTCTTGCTCTTTGTCTAGGCCAAACCCAATGTTTACTCAAGAAACTGAGGCCCAGAGAGGGACAGAGGTCACACAGCAAGTTGGTGGCAGCGCTAGAACTGGAAGCCCTCTCTTGTTCCCAGTGACCCTGCCCGCACCCCTGGAATGGGATAGGACCCCCTCACCCAGGACATCGAAAGCGGGCACCAGGCTAACATCCATCCAGTTTTCCAGATCTGCAGAGGTCAGTCGGAAGTGCAGGGCCCCGGGCAAGCCCTGCTCAGGAAACTCAAGGCTCAGACCGGGGACTGGGTCCTGCCACCAGGATTCTAGCAGCACCCGCATGTCCCTGAGGAGCTCTGCACGGAAGGTCCCCAGGTCCTCATAACTCTTGAAGCAGTCGAAGAAGACGACAAGTTCACAGTCACAGCCACCCCTGAGGGCTGTGCCCCGGCCAGAGGAGCCTCCCTAGGAAAAAGAAGAAAAAAAAACAAATAAAAACACAAAGCTCAGAATTCCATACTCTCCGATTCTAGTGGCCACACGGGCTGGCAGGCAATCGAGTGAGGCCAGTGAGCTGGGGACAGACTGTGGCCACGCAGCTCTGGGCACCGAAGCCAGGCAGGAATGTGGGCCCAGGGCAACCATGTCAGGGTTTTTGAGAGAAGCAATTTGAATATGTAAATCTATGATTTTTAAATGTTGGCAACTAACTTTAAAAAAAAAAAAAATCAAAACTGAAGGTTAAAATGAATTCTGGTTTGCAGAACACACGTCTTTGCTCAGGATGAGCACAAAACTGTGCTAAGATTTACTGAATTTCGGAGACCTTTCTCATCAGCGTTTCTTTTTGCAAAGCTTCCTCATCAGCGTTTCTTTTTGCAAAGCTTCCAGCCCGAGGATTTGGGAAGGAACCACCCAGACACTGTGGGAGCCTCTGCTCTGTGCTTAGTATCTGACACCTGCGAGCTCACTTCCAACACGCAACCACCCTGATGTGGTTACATATGGCGCACAGACCTGGGGGAGTGAGGCTCAGAGCGGTGACTTGAGTTACACAGCCTGGAAACCGCAAGAACCAGGATCGAACCTTCCAGGAGCAAGCCTTGCCTGAAACTGGGACCCCTAATTATCGCAATGATTATGCCAGTCCCTGTACTTCCAGCCCCTCGCAAAGCAGGAACAGGCACAGAGGAACATGACAAAGTAGGCATCTCCTACACGTTTCGTGCACAACCATCTCATTTAACCTTCCTAACAATCCCAAAGGAAGGTACTATTATTGCACTCACTTTGCAGAGGAAACAAAAACACAAGGAGGTCGTCACTCGCTCATGAGCCCCGCCCCCACCCGAGAGGCTGGGCCGTTCGACTTCAGCCCCGGAGTCAGACTCCAAACACCCCTTTTTCCTCCCATCCATTCATTAATTTACTTAAAAATTATTTTTATTATGAAGGTTTTCAAACCTATGCAAAAGAAGAGAAGATTTTAAAGAAGCCTTTTGCCACACTTACCCATCTGTTCTGCCTCCTTTTACTTTTTTTGTGTGATTTTAAAGGAAATCCCAGGCAACCTGTCATTTCACCCACATACGCTTTCACGGGCATGTCTAAAATAGCGCTTCTCAACTGTAGGCAACTGTGTCCCCGCTGGACATTTGGCAATGTCTGGGGACAGGTTTGGTGGTGATGACGGGGGAGGGGAGTCCTTGTTGACTCGGGGAGGGGGGTGTTATTCTGACAGGTGCCAGAGGTCTGTGGCCCCCTCCTTTGCTCTCTGGTTTGTTTGGCCAAGGCCCACGCCCATCTTGTACATCCCACTGTCGCCCCGGAATCTGCCATTCCTCCGAGGAGCCTGTTCTGTGGGGAGTGGCATCTCTAGACTGTAGTGTGGGCTCAGGAAATAAAGCCCACGGTTCTCCCCACTTGCCACTTTCTCCTTCAACGTCTCAAGCAATCCGGAGGCCGTACGCCAAATTCAACCACGAGACGTGTTCCAGGTTTCCCAGGGAAGCGAAGGGTGCCAGGGCTTTAGAGATCCTTTAGCTCTTGCTCCATAGAAATCCCTCCTGCCCATCTCAGAGGCGGAAGCAGGATATCATCCTCCTAGGCTACAAGTCTGTCCTCCTCTTCCCCACCGCCCAAGCTAAGTTCAGCCCCGGGGCCACTAGAGGCCACTAGAGGCCACCGGGTTCTCTGAGGCCATCTGAGGCCATCCCTCTGTGTTTTCACCCCTTCCTAATCTGCTCTAGCGCACCCAGATTCTCCGGATGACCCTGGCACCCCTGAGTTTACCCTGAGGGTAAGATAGCTCCCGCCTGTCTCCTCCCTGAGTCCCTGAGCGTCCTGAGGTCACAGTGGCGGTGTGGCACAGTGCTTAGGGGTGCAGTGGCTTAACCGTGCAGGCCTCAGGTTCCCCACCTATAAAACAGGGACAATAATCCCTACCTCACTGAGAATTAAACCAGCTAGTGCTTATTTAATAAGACAATGTGCATTGTTCCTCGGTAAATTCTCAGCAAATCGGGCTACTCTGGCTATTACAGAGCAGTATTACTTCTGTGTCCTTAGGGTCTGGCATAGTGCCAGGCCCATAGTCTGTTTGAATGACTGGGTGAAGGAATGAGTGAGTGAATGAATGAATGAATGAATGAGAGGCAGTCTTTAAGAGCACAGATGCAGGAATCAGACTACCGGACCTGAGTCCTGGCCGGGCCTCTTACAGGCTTGGACACTTACTTCCACTACTCCGTGCCTCAGTTTCCCGGTATGTCAAGTGGGGGTAAGAGTGCCTACCGGCAGGACTGCTGCAGCACAGGACACGAGTGATAAGGCCACCCTCGACTCCAGGCCCTGCGGACTGTCCCTCCCGTCAGATGACACGCTGAGGCCCGCCCCTCCCCCGCCCAGGGCGCCTCACCTTGGCGGTCTTCAGCACCCGCGGCGGGCGGGCGGCGCCGGGCCGGGCCCTGCGCTCCCTCAGGGCGGCGTCCAGGGCGCCCAGCGCGCGCCGCGCGGCCTCCGCAAAGTGCGCGGGCGGCTGCAGGCTGCGGGCCACCAGCCGGTCCAGCGGGGCGGCCGCGGTGCGGGGCACGTCCATGCCGGGCGGCGGGGCGGCCGCGGTGCGGGGCACGTCCATGCGGGCCGGCGGGGCGGCCGCGGTGCGGGGCACGTCCATGCCGGTCCGGTCCGACGCGCGCCTGCGGTTTCGTTTCCCCGCCGGGGGCCTGCGCCGGGCGACGGAAGGGGGCGGGCGCCGCTGACCCGGCCTCCCTTGCACCCGCCCCGCTCTCCCGCTTTCAGTTTCATTTCCTTCCCGGTGTTGGCTCCTGCTTCCTGGTCTGGGATGGGCCGAGTGCGGGCCTCCTCCGAGCACCGGTCAGAGTGGCCTGGAGCGCGCGTTTGCACTGCAGCAGGCGTGATGTCGCTTCGCCGCGTCCCCCTCGGGGAAGGCCTTGCCGGCCCGGCTGGGGGCTGCTGTCCACCGAGCCTCCGCTGTCAGCCTCCCGGGACTGCCCCAGGTTGGCCCGCGCCTGCAGACTGACCCGTGCCGGTGGAAGGCCCTGGCCATCTCAGCCCGACTGAAGACGCCTCCCAAGGGCCATGTTTTGTCCCAGAGTCCCTCGTGGGGCCTACCAAAGCAGCGCTGAGTCCCAGCTCCTTCCCCGTCCTCTCTGTCACATGCGCTGGTCTCCAGGCACCCCGGCAGACCTCCTGCCTGCTAAACGCGGCCTCAGCACCTGCTGCCCAAGGAGCCCAATCTGTGACAGATGGTGTCAGAAAGGTCCAAGAAAACGGGCATGTGGAGCTGGTGGCCGGCGTCTTGGGTGGCAGTGAGGACGCCATCACTGGTGCCAGGCGAAGCCCACCGGGGTCACGCTCCTGCTCTGGGGGCGGATTGGGCTGGCGTGCCATCCCCGGGGAAGGGAATGCACTGACGCAGCGTGGGGACTAGAAGGACAGTGGAACGGCATGGGCGTTTCTCAACTCTGTGACACGTGGAGAATTAACAGGCGGCAGAGAGCTACGCGTGGGAGTTGCAGGGCCTCCTCTAGTCCGCTGCAGCCGGAGGGCAGAGAAAGCTGAGCCCAGGCCCGGGCCTGACCCCTCAGAGCGGCCGAGCTCCAAGTAGGTTAAACGCTCAACCAAGACAGGCGGGCTGTGCCGAGATCCGGGCCCTGGGTGGGAAAGGTGGGACCCTGACACATGGGATGGGGTCATCGGGGTTGATGTCCTAGAAATCCTGAATCCCTGAAGTCCCCCCCCAACCCTTGCAGCTGCCGACGTGGCTCACCCCTCCCTGTCAAGAACTAGCACCTTCTCCTGAAACAGCAGAGAGCAGGTGGAGGTAGTGATTATAATGAGCAGGGAGGCTGGAGCCGCAGCCAGGGGACCTGACCCACAGAGAGTTATGGACCTGGTTGCCACAGCGTGGCGTCCTAGGGGCTTAGCTGATGGGTAGCCAGAAAGGGCTCTACCCAATTTGTACCATTGACAACGTCAAGGATGGAGGACCAGGAGGCTGAGGTCCCCTGGGGAAAGGACCTTGCAACACTGTAGCATATACAGTAATGGTTTCCCCCAAGGGACCTGTGGCCTCTTATTCAGGGACGGCACGCTGGGAAAGGGGGAAACCCAACCATTCCAAAGACTGTTGGGCAGAGGGTCGGTGATGCATGAAGACCCAAAGTGTCATCAGCCTCTGCCCCATCAGAGCAGGGGCATGTGGAAGCCAGGGGTGACAAACGGGGTCCTGGCCAAGTCAGCCTCACAGTGTGCCCACCGTGTCTGTGGACCCGCCTGCGGGTCATTTTCCTGTGCTCTGAATATCTGCTCGAAAAGGACACACTTGGGAAAAGGCACTACCCGCATTGGCCCGCGGGTTAAGTAAGGGCTATGGCACTGAGGCTGGTCATGGAGGTGCCTTTGAAATGGCCACTTCCCTGGCCAGGATAGTAAATCGAAGCCAATGTCACATCCCAGGGTGAGGGGGTGCAGAAATGAGCACCTCCCTTAGCCCTAAAGAGTTCTGCAGCAGGTCTAGGCTGCAGTGCGAGTCGCCCTGCCACGTGGGTGGGACAACCGGGCAGTCCCCGTCACGTCAAAAGTGTGAGTTACAGGAAAAGATGCCACGAGGAGATTATAGTGAGCTCCAGGCAGAGAACTGTAAACACAGCATGAGGCCTCTGGAACAAGCCATGCCATTTTTCAGCAAAAAATCACATGCCCTTTGAGAGACAACCCTGGTGCGCTGCTGGACCCCATTGTAGATACAAGCCCGATCATGTGGCCACGTGCTCTTCGATTAAATAGCTAATTGCTGACTTAGTTACTCTACTGTTGCTTGTAGTATTGTTTTTAATCGTGGGACACTCAAAGAACAACACAAGTGGATTATCCACATGGTAAAGTACAACGCAGCCATTAAACGGGATGCCAAAACTTCCTTATCAGGATCCAGGGTCTCAGCTGGAAATGAGGGGGGTTATCTGGATGACTCTTGTCCCTGAGATGTGCTGCGGTTAGAAGATGGTGCACCTCCAGTCCTCTTCCTCCTGTGCAATGGATGCTGGGTATGTGATGAGGCTCTGCAAGAAATAAAGGCACTGATATGTCCTGACATAAGCATGTTCTTGATGCACTCTTTGAGCGTAGGTCTCAGAGTTCTCATTGTGTCTTTAAATCTGAAAGAGTAAAACGCATGATCACATCAGGACGCTGGTCTTCCTATCGTGGGACCGGATCTCAGTGAGCACTTATGGTGGACACTGTGACATGCCACCTGGACTGCCCTTTGAAGAGGGACATGCAAGCCCCAGCTGTGGGGATGGCGGTCAGCAGGCAGACATCAGCTGGCGGCCTTTCTAGGGGTTGCCACAGCTGCAGAGAGCCTTTGGCCCCAAACCACATCCCTTTGCAACGTGCCCACGTTCACTGACTGATCCACATGGGGTTTTAAAGGCTTGGCCACCTCTGTCTGGTCCTACAGGACAGCTGTGAAGGCCAATCCAGCTCCAAAGCTGGCGTTTGCTGCATTTCTGTTCATTTCTCCCTACACCTTCTCCTGCTTCCCCCCCTCCCTTCCATGAGGGTTGGTGCCAGTGGACTCCCCCTAAACGCCCCGCACATTAAACCCCGCCTCTGAGTCGCTTCCCAGGAACCCACCCACGACACCATCAGTGCCCTGGCATCAGAAAGACTCCTAGCCTGGGAGTGAAAACGTCCACGTGTGACAGCCGGAGGAGGAGGAGGAGGAGGAGGAGGAGGAGGAGGAGGAGGGAGGGGAGGAGGAGGGAGGAGGAGGAGGAGAGGAGGGGGAGGAGGGGGAGGGAGGAGGAGGGAGTCCCCATCTGTCAGACGGTAAGAGGAGATGACACAAGAGGAGGAGGAGGAGGAGGAAGAAGAGGAGGAGTCGTCCCCATCTGTCAGAAGGTAAGAGGAGATGACACAAGAGGAGGAGGAGGAGGAGGAGGAGGAGGAGGAAAAGGAGGAGGAGTCGTCCCCATCTGTCAGACGGTAAGAGGGGATGACACAAGCCAGGCTGTCTAGCACAGTGGCCTGAGCACTAGCTTTGGAGTCCACTGAGTTTGGATCCCAGCTCCAGCACTCCTTAGCTGAGTGTCCTTAGGCGAGTGACTTCACCTCTCTGAGCCTCTTTTGCTCACCTGTAAGATGGGAATGAAAGAAGATGTATCTCATAGGGTGGTTGGGAGGATTTAAGGAGCTAATGTATATTCAAGGGCTTAAGACAGAACTTGAGCCCAGAGCAGATACTCAAGACATGGTGGTTGTTATTTATTATTAGTCTTAGTGGAATGAACTCTGGACAAGGGATGTGAAAATTCCGGGAACCTTCTAAATGGGGCCAAAATGACTGTAAAATATGGAGCACAGCCTGTAACTATAGGAATTTGAGTGACCTTTGGCAAGGGGTAAGTCCTTTGGGAAGAATGGCCTCCAGCTACATGTCTCAAGCTGAGGAAGGGTGCAGTGGGGGAGGGGAGAAGGCAGGGAGAAAGATCTCACCGGCACGGTCCAGGAGCCTACCGAAGACCCATCCCATCTCTCAAAGCACGGGAAACTCAGCCAGGCTTCAGCCTCTCGTGCCAGCCGGCACCAGCCCTCTGGGTCTCCACCACCCAGGTTCCCTGTAGGGTCCGCCGGGTCCAAGATCACAGGCCTGCAGAGCAACATTTGCAGAGGGGGCCGTGAGGAGCTGAGGCTCTGTCCAGGGAGCCCACCGCTCCTGGGAGAGCAAACGCCAGCCTGGGAGTGGCCCCGCAGGGCGCCACTCCCTGGGGTGCGTCCTCAGTGACAGGCCCCCCAGGGGGCAGTGAGCTTGAGGACAAGGGGTCCCGCACTTGGGCCTGACAGACACGGGTTCAAATCCCACCCCTGCCCTTTACTGGTGATATACCCTTGGGCAGATCACTTGACCTCCCTCAGCCCAGTGACTAGAACATAACAAGGGGTCCATACATATCAGTTATCCTGACAATAATTCTTACTGTGATATGACGATGTGTTAGTCTTACAGCAAGCTTTGAACGCCTGGGAGCAATGATGATTGTTATTGGTGCTGCTGTTGTTATTTCAGTTCAAATTCCAGCTATTTCACTCATGTCCTGTTAAGGTTCGGACAAGCTCCTTACCTCTCAGGACCTGGGTGCATGCAGCTGTGAAATGATGGGCATAGTGCCTGCCTCACAGTTTTGGAGTTTAGGTCAGATGTAAGGGGCCCTACACAGTGACAGGCAACAGGAGAGTCTCCCTAGATGGGGAGCCCTCCCCCCTCCTCTGTTTCCAAGGCACTGCAGCTGTATCCAGGGGTTCGTTTACGTAGGGGAGGTAAGCCATGTGGGGAGAGAGTACCTGGGTTTCTTGAGCTGCCTTTGCAGGTACTCTCCAATATCGGGGTTTTTTGAGTCATAATACAACGTCCAGTAGATGCAAAGGTGCTGGTAGTTTATAACTAATTCCAAGACGGTCTGAAAGCCCTGGGCTGTGATAAATCCTGGGGCCATGCTCCCTTGCTCCCAAGCGTAGACTGTCAGGAGTTCCAGGGCATACTTCGGGGGCAGGGGCTTCCCAAGCTTCTCCTTGCACTGCCAAGAGGGAAAACAATCAGAAGAATAGGGTTGTCTAGCTTTTGGGTAAAGCGCATTTCTCATGGGCCAAATCTAGCCTGCCATCTGTTTTTTGTAAATAAAATTTTCTTGGAGCAAAGCCAAAAAAATGTACGTATCGGCTGCTTTCACGCTACGAGGGCAGAGTTGAGTAGTTGTGATAGAGACCATGTGGCTCACAAAGTCTAGAATGTTTACTATCTAATCTTTTACAGAAAAAGTTTGCTGGCCCTTGGTTAAGAGCTTGAACTCTGGATTCTTACTGATGTGGGTTTGAATACTGACTCCATCATTTTCTGATTCTGGGTAGATGACTTAGAGTCTTGGAGCCTCATTTTTTTCTTTTTTTTTCATCTGCCAAGTTGAGTGGTGATAACAGCACTTTCCTTATAGGGACATTATGAAGCTCAGTGAGAGGAAGGACTTGGAGTATTCCTAAGAGCCACATGGAAGCAAAAAAAATTCCCACTGGAGGAATATATATAATCCAGAGCCTCAGATTATTTCATGAATAATTTTCACATACAGTGACCAGCACATAGATCACAAAGTACATAAGGAAATAAGACACCAAGAGTAACGACCAACAGACAAAAGAGACACAGTAATAAATCCACAAAACTTTAAATATCGAAGGATTGAACATGGGCTTTAAAATGACTAGGGATATTATGTTCAAAGAAACAAAATAAGAGCTTTTAATAGATAGTTAGCAGGGGAATAGAAACCATAAAAAGTAACATGGCAGATACGAAAAAGAATGAAATAGAAATCCTAGGTTAAAATGACAATAACTGTAATTAATAACTCAACAGCAAACTAGACATAGCTAAAGAGAAAATAAGTTAATTGGAAGGTAGATTAGAAGAAACTATTCAGAGTAAAATATGGAATGACAGACAAAGAGATGGAAAATACAGAAGAGAGTGTAGACATAGGAGAGACAGAGTAAAAAGGTCTAACATACACTTAATTGGAGTTCCAGGAGGTGCAGAGAGAAAGAGGGAGAGAAAACATTTTAGAAGAATGGCTGAGAAGTTCCAAAATCAATGAATGATATCTATGCATAGATCAGGAACACCAAAGGAATCCCAAGCAGGACAAATAATAAGGAATTATCATTAAGACACTTCAAATCAAAGCTACACAAATTAAAGAGAAAAACCTTAAAATGCAGCCAGAGGAATAAGATGGGTTATTTACAAAGGAGGCATTATCATACGGACAACTGACTTTTTAATAATGACACTGGATGATGGAGTGATATATGCAACGTACTGAAATGACCACTAACTAACCCAGCAAACACACCCTTCAACAATGAAGGTAAAAGCCAGACATTCTCAGACAAACAAAAACTGAGCGTTTACTACCAACAGACAATCACCAAAAGAAATCCCAAAGGGTGTACTTTAGAAAAATGACTCCAGATGGAAGGTCAGAGCTAAAGGAAAGAATTCACAGTGAGGAAAGTGGTAAATATGTGAGTAGATTAGATAATTATTGGCTCTGTAAAACAAGAGGCACTTGAAAATATAGAGAGACTTGAAATATACAATAAAAATAGCATATTTATGGGAAGCAGTTGTGATGGTGGTTAGTAGAATATTGTAAGGGTCTTGTAGTGCATCAGGAAAGAAAGAAAAAAGACAATTCTTGGCTATGCAGGACATCTTGGTCATTGTAAAACAACTAGCATTCCTGCCTTCTTTCCACTGAATATCAGTAGCACCCTTGTCCCCTCATCACTGTGGTTACCCAAAAATGCCCTCAATAATTTTCAATATGTCCCTGGGGGCCATGCTGCTTTTTGTCAATGACTACTTTTGTAAATTCTGCAATGCTGAGGCTCCACGATGAGAATTCCTGGAACAGCAACCACTGAGACGTCTAGCAACTAAATGATTGTCTTGTTTTGCCTAGAGATGTTACTTTTAAATCAGGAAGGTTACCCCTGATTATTTTCACTTGTTCATTCATTCAAGAAATAAATATTGAATGCTCATTCTGATCAGGCAAACTCTTGAGTCAGTGGACCCAAATTCAAATTTTAGTTCTGCTACTTAATTAAGCAGAATGAGCCATCTGACTCTTAGTTTCTCTTTCGGTAAAATGGGCTTAATAATTAGACCTCCACTTATCTAGCTCACAGAGTTACTGTGAAGATTGAATAAGATACAGGATATTCAAAAGTGAACAGAAAAGCCTATCACATCCACAAAAGATGGATTAGCTAAGCTAAGCACAGCACACAATACATGTTAGCTTTTATTATGTGTTTTCTTGTGGTGGCTAAAAGAAGCCACATTTATCAGGACCAACTATATGCCAGACACCACGTTACTCTTGCTGTGGCATGTTACTCTTTGCAAATGAGAAAACAGAAGACACAGAGAGGTTAAGTTTCTTGCACAAGGTCAGCCAGCCAGGAAGTGGGAAAAAAGGTATCCGAACATGTTTGTTTGAAGCCCTTGTTTTGCCCTATCCAACTTCTGAAGAGTGTAGTTGACTCTGTGTGTGTGTTTGTGGGGGTGTAGTTATAGCATTCATTTATTTATTCAACAATTACTTGTTGGGCACCTATTTATTATATACCAGGCACTGTGCTAAGTTCTGGGGATACAGCAGTGAACAAAATACAAAAGTCCCTTCCTTCACATACGTCCCTTCTCTCCTTTTCTTCAGGGGTGGGGGGACAGGGACAGGGTCTCACTCTGTCACCCAGGCTGGAGTGCAGTGGTACGATCATAGCTCACTGCAGCCTTGAACCCATGGCTCAAGCGATCCTCCTGCCTCAGTCTCCTGAGTAGCTGGGACTCCAGGTGCACCACCATGCCCAGCTAATTTTTCTATTTTTTTTTTTTTTGCAGAGATGCAGTGTCACTCTATTGCCCAGGCTGGTCTTGAACTCCTGACCTCAAGCGATCCTCCCGCCTTGGCCTCCCAAAGTGCCACCACGCCCAGCCCCCCTTCCCGCTCTTTCCCCCTCCCTCCCTGCTCTCCACCTCTTCTTACTCTCTCTCCTCTTCTCCTCTGTTTCCCTCTCTCCCTTCGCTCTCTGCTCCCCCCTCCTCCCCCTGCCCCTGTCCAGACAGGCCCGCGCAGGGCTGGCGGGAGGAACGCACCATTTGGTACCAGTGCTTGACTAGGCGGATGAGGCTCTTCAGCTTGGCTGGACGGCGCCTCAGGAAGTCTCGCTGTAGCTCCGTGAAGCAGGTGGAGAACTCGCCCTCTTTCCCCAGGTAGCTGCACTCCCAGATGAGCTTGCTGTAGATTTGGGGGTCAGGTCTAGAGCCTTCGGTCCACTGGCCTGTTAGGGAGAAATTCATACCTTTAGGGTATCAGCACTTCTCCGTGTTTCCTTTAGTCACTCCAGGGGACGAGCTCACTGGCGCTAGACAGGACAGCAGACCTCGTGCCAGGGAGCCTGGGGTCCCTTCTTCCTTCTCCGTGGCCATCGCCCCGCCCCGGCTGCCACCATGTCTTGCCTGGACTCTGGCAGCCACCCCCTCCCTGGGTCCCCCAAAACCTCTCAGCCCAGCACCTAGAGAGATCTTTAAAACTCTGGTCATGCTACTTCTTGCTTCCCTTGACATCTGGAATAAAAAAAATCTAAGGTCCCCATGGCGTCCCCATGGAAGCCGGGATGATCTGGCCCTGCTGCCTCTGTCACCTCACCGCCTGCCCGGCTGCCTCTGCCCATTCCCACACCGCCCTCGTCTCTCCTCCTTAGACGTGCCAGGCTCATGCCTACCTCGGGTCCTTTGCACTTGCTGTTCCCTCTTTCCAGAAGCCCCAGATCTTCCCGAAGCTGAGTACTCCCTCTTGTCACTCGGGCCTCGCCTCAGCTCAGGTGTCACCTCCTCAGGGGGCCCTCCCTCTGACCCTGCTGAACAAAGCCCTCCAACCCACGCACGGCCTGTCTGCTGTGTCGCCGTGTGTAGTTTTTCAACACAGCAAGTATCACTCCCTATGTCTTGCTTACAAGTTCATCGTCAGGCTCTGGATGACTGATTGCTTGTCTGGCTTCATCGCGGCCATAGGACAGTGCCCCGCATACAGTCGGTGCTCAATGGATAGTCTGTGCACTTCCAGTTGTTTGGATGTCTCCCTCCTCCAGTCTCGCCCCTCTCCTGATCTACTTCCCACACCACAGCCAATGCCTTCCTTCCAAAACACAAATCAGATTGTGTCACTTCTCCGCGCCACACCCACTGGGCTCTGGCGGTTTCTAGAACACCTGGCTCTTGAAACCTCATGGCCTGTGCGGTTCCGGCTGCCTGGAGCATGCTGCCTCCCCTTCCCTCTCTCCCTCTTATATTTTGTGACCGTGGCCCCCCAGCCCCCAACACGAGACGTGACAAAAAGGAGGGCACCCCAAACTTTCTCAAATCCTGGTGTCTTCAAAGTTTCAGTGTTCTTTTCCTGGCTTCCATAGGTGCAAAGAGTACCCTGGCAGTTTCCTTAATTAAGTACTGCTAATTATCAATTGATTACTCATTATTAATTAAGTCCAAATAATAGTAGCCATTGGAGTGGCATCTGACAGATGTCACTGTATTTCCCTCAAAAACGAAAAATCGAAACTATTCCGTGCCCTGCTGTGAGTTCACCGTGGTGTTCTGAGATGCCTTCGTGTAGAGTTGGGACATGCCTATTTTTGAACACCTACCGAGTGACAGTTAAAGCAGGTGACCATTTAATACTTAAAACAGTGGCACGATATCGGTAGTGTGGCTTCTACAGTTCTCCTGATGTGGAAATGGAGTCTCCCAGAGGTTCCCCTTCCCGCTGGAATGTTCCTTCAGATTGTACGTGTCTGTCTCCCAACCAGCAGCCTGAGTTTAACGAGGTTTCCTCGTGTGTTGGAACGAAGACGAAGTCGCTATTAATGTTAAGGCAGACCTATGCGGCCCGATTTTGGAACTATGAAATCCACAAGCTTCGCCATCAGTGGAACCAGTAAGCCTTGATGATGCTCTATAAGAAACGTCTTTGTCCCTAGATTGTACCAATTTGCCGTTTCATGTCCCTCCTGTGACGTATTATGACTCTGTTCATTCTTGCCCCAGGAAAGAGCCTCAAATCTCCCCCGCCCCTGCTTGAGAAGGACGCCCTGTTGGGGAAAAACTCTCAGACTGTGGGAGATTTCTGCCCAGAAATAAGAAAAGGGAGAGAAAGAAGCTGTGTTACGGGCCACGGGCTGAGAGCCCGGTGGCTAAAAGCGCTCACCCAGGGCATCGAAGGCAGGTAGCACGTCGAACTCCACCCCCTCCTGGAGCTGGGGTGAGCACAGCACGAAGCTGAGCACGCGGGGGTTGTCCCATCTTGGATTCTGGACCTCAAACTTCACGCTGAATGTTCTCTCTCTTTGACAGGCTTCCAGCTGCTTCCTAATTTCCTCGATGAACAATCCCCGGAGAGTTAACTGGTCCTGAAAACTTCTAAGAGGACTGAGGAAGACCACCAGGTCAGCATCAGATCGGCCTCTGAGAGCAGTGCCTTTGCCTGAGGATCCGCCCTAAAAAAGATGACAAGAGTTATAACTGACACTTAGTGGGATGAGCCTCCCTATATAAAATGACGAGAACAATCACTAACATTCTTGAGCGCTAGCCGCCGTTCTGAGGGCATTACATGTCTTAAACTCCTATAATGCTCTCAATGACTCTATGATTTAGGTATCAGCATTACTAGTTCCCATTTTGCAGATGGGCAAACAGTTGCTCAGTGAGATTACATGTCAGCCCGGTCACCCAGCTAGTAGGTGGCAGAGATGCATCTTATTCCAGGCTCTGTGTTTTTTTCCTCTTGTCCCCTACTATTTTATATTATTGGACACCCCAGACTGGCTTGTGCTGGGTAGTTTTCACACATTATTTTACTTAATCTGCACAACCCTATGAAGTATCTGGAATTATGGATGAGGAAATTGGGACACAGAGAAGTTAAGTGACTTGCTCAAGGTCTCACAGCCAGTAGATGCCATCTGCTTTCAAAATGTATGCTCTTAACCAACTCATGAGACTGCAGAAATGGGAAGTCCACTGATTAACGAATCATTTAACAGAGTTGGGCCTCAGTTTCCCTATCTCTGAAATGGGCATGGCCTAGGACAGTGGTTCTGGGGGGTGGGTGGGGCTGGGGACTCGTAGGACTTCACCCCAGAATCTATTTGAACAAGCTGTATGGTTAAATCAGAAACCACCGGCCCCCCACGCTGACCCAAGTTTGCACCTTGGGTTCTATGTTTTCGTACTTTCTCTTTATCTCTTCCCCCCACCCCCGGCTCTTCCCCATTCAGCGCCCCCTCCCCCAGCCAGGCAGCCCTGGGCTCACCTTCACCACCTTGGACACCCGCACGGGATGGCTGGCACCTTGGAAGCACCTCTCCTTCAAGAAGCTGCAGATGATGTGGATGGCCCTTTTGACCTGCTCTCGGAAACTCGTGTCCGGCTGGAGATTGTCTTTGATGAACTTGTCCAGATCCTTGGCTGGGGTATATCTGAGCGCCATCATGATACTCGGGCAGGGACAGGAGAGCCGGTGGGGACAGAACTGCCTCCCCGGAACCCACGGCTTTTATTTCTTGGTTTCTGGTTTCAGTTTCGTTTGTTTGGAAACAGTGGAGCTGGCTTCACGGTTCCCTTTATGAAATCAGGCACTCCCCTGATCCCAGTAGACAACCGCGGCTGCTAGCCTTGCCTCTCTTTGGACTCCACCCTGAAACTGTTGCTTTTAAAAAATGTATTCCAATATATTACGGGGCTACAAATATTTTTTGGTTACACGGATCACTTTTATGATGCTTGAGTCATGGTTATAAGTGTGCCTGTCACCCAGATCGTGTTCATTGTACCCTTTAGGTAGGTTTTTGCCCTTCCTCTCTTCCCCACTCCTCCCCACAGCTTGATTTCCTTAAGTTTGACTTCCCGCTGTGCACATGTGTCCTCATCAGTCAGTTCCAGTTTAACAGCGAGTCCACGTGGTGTTTGTTTTTCCCTTCTTTAGATGCTTCACCTAGGATAATGGTCTCCAGTTGCTTTTTAACCCCCCAGCCAAGAGAAATCATGGTTAAAGGCAGATTTGAGGATTTCTTTTTTTGTCTTTTTTTTGTTATTGTTGACAATTTTGTTTCATAGTCTCCTGTGATTTGTTTTCCAGCAATACGTGCATATTGTAAAAAGAAAAAAAGAAAAATCAGGAAGTGTAAAAGATCACCCATCATCTTAAAACTCGAAAACTACCATTACGAACATTTTGGTATAGCTCTTCTTGGATGTTTTTCTGTGTTCACACACACAGAAATAGAGTTCATTTTTCTTTTCCTTTTTTTAAAAAAATGGCATTATATTATACTTTTTCCTCTTTTAATTAATAGACTTTATTTCATACAGCAGTTTTCGGTAGGCTTACAGAAAAATTGAACAGAAAGCACAGAGTCCCCATAAACCTTCTCCTTCCACCGTAAGTTCCTTTATTATTTTTATTTATTGATTAATTTTTAGACAGAGTCTCACTCTGTCACCTGGGCTGGAGTGCTATGGCATCAGCCTAGCTCACTACAACCTCAAACTCCTGGGCTCAAACGATCCTCTTGCCTCAGCCTCCACATTAGCTAGAACTACAGGCATGCGCCACCATGCCCAGCTAAGTTTTTCTGTTTTTGAAGTAGAGATGGGGGCGGGGTCTCACTGTTGCTCAGGCTGGTCTCGAACTCCTGAGCTCAAGCGATCCTCCCGCCTCGGCCTCCCAAAGTGCTAGGCTTGTAGGCGAGAGCCACCACACTCAGCCTACAACTCCTTTTCTTAGCCAGATTAATTAGTTAATCAATCAACACTCCCCACTCCTGCTGTATAACTTGTTGACTTATGCCTAAGGCAAAATGTAACCACAAGGGGGGGCGGGGCTCTGTCATTCACCAGCTGAAGTGCCTGTTTTCCAAGTTTCTGTTTGTTCCCAAATGTCTTCATGGCAATTGTAGTTGTTAAGTACTTTTGATTAAATATATAAACAGACCCAACACGAGTGCCAAACAACAAAAGAAGAGAGCTATCCTTAGAAAACCAATATTGAATTGTTTGGAAAGATGCGATAAAGTCAAATTTCATAAAACATCACATAGAATTAGCTAAGAGTGAGATAACTATAAAAGAATGAGGAAATAACTGGGAAAAAAATCCACTTATGCTTAGGACAATGCCCTCATGCCCTAGCAGGTGGCTTTACATTATCGTTCCTTTTAAGGAAACAGAAACAGGAAATTATACTCATTTTTGTGCTTTTCGAGAAAAAAAGATGAGGCAGGACTCCAGTCGGGGGGCCTGCCCCAGCGGAGACGCCTTGGTCTCCACTGAATGATCGGGAAATGAAGGCACGTTTGTGGGCCATGACAATTAAGCTAGAGCATACCCTGATAATCTGATGTCCTACCCACATTTGGTTCTTTTGGTAGTCAAAGAACCAAAAGGAGGAAGTGACACAAGGTGACACAGCCATTAATAATTTGGACAAGAGCCAAGCAAAGCATACCTCTCATGTGCATATTTTTTTTTTGTGGAGCTCTTTTTCTAAAATTTATTTTTAATTATTGTGGATATACAATAGCTGCACCTATCTATGGGGTGCATGTGATGTTTTGCTATAGGCATATCAGGTACAACGAAAAAGTCAGGGTCACTGGGACATCCAACCTCTAATGGGTCACTTACGCTTATCAGGCCAACGCTGGCACATCCGATTGAGCTGAGGACGGGGGTGGGGCAGCCTGGCAGGTTTCAGTCACTTGGTCACATGGCCCTGCTGACCGCTTTCGACAGGAACCACCAAGCCCCACGACCTGGCCCTTGCACTGGCCTCACCTTTGCCGGCCCTGATGGGAGACCGGACCTCAGCAACGCCAAGCGCCGTCGTGCCTCCGAGTCCCACCCACGATGAGCGTCTCTAGCTGTGGGTTGAGCTCCTGCACTCCCAACTGCGCAGGGACCTTCTGCCCCACCCGAGCCTCTCCCCCTTTCAGCTCCAACATCCTGTGTTCAATCAGAGCCAGTCGGGGGCATTCCCCCCCCCCATGTGAGCCTGTGCGAGGGACTGACCACTCGAAATGGCATTTATCAAGCCCCTAGGATGCACCGGGGGCTCTTCAGCCATGATCCCATTGGAACCTCCCGGCAACTCTTTGAAGTACTGATTGACATCTCCATTTTCCAGATGAGGAGACTGAGACTCAGAGAGGCTAAATGACTTGACTATGGTCCCACAGCTAGAAAGTGACCGGGTTTGAATGCTGGGCTGAGTTGATTAAAAGGCTGGTGTGTTTTCAGGGTAGATGCTTTTGCAGAGTGTTTTATGTCAATGAGGGGGGAAAAGCATAATTAGCCAGGTCGGGTGTACCGATGTTTTTGAAAACTTTCCTCATGTATATTCATCTCAGCTTGTTTAGGCATGTCCCCATGCTTCGAGGAAGATCAGTTAGGGACAAAAATTAGGTTTCTTTCCAACTGCCACCCATGAGTGACTGGCGCTGGCTGCCTGGAACACTGTGTTGAGAAGGATTCGAAGGGTCCTCGTAGGCTCCGTGGGGAAAATGCTGTATTGATTAGTGATGTCTGCCGTGCGTGCGGGGAGAGTGGCAAGGGTCCCGCGATCCTGCGAGGCTTGTACGGACTTACGTGGCGCCTGTCTCCACCTGGTGGCAGCCACTGAATTGCAGGAAAAACTGTTTGATTTTTCTGGCAGCGATTTTGCAAGTCTTGATGAAGGTGGGAATCACGAGACATCAACCCGGACATATTTTCAAACATACACCTGTCGTCGGGGTTTAGCAGAATCTGTGGGGAGGTGGGTCGTTTGAAAATAAATCTCCCAAGTGATTCTAATACGCCAACTTCCGCCCCCAACATTGAGAACCACTCTTTTGGAGGTGAGACAAAGGAAATGGTCCCAAAGTTCACCGGGAAGAGAATTTTCTATGGGATAGAACTGACTTCCTTCTGGAAGTCACCAGCATTCCTGATAAATTGCTTAAGCACTTTGGGGATAGATTATAGTGAGATTAGGAATCCTACTGGAAAGCTAGTTACCTACTCAGCTCACTTTCAGGACTAGTGAGACTTTCAAATGAGGCTCGCTCTCCGTAGGTTGGAAGGTGCTAGAATGCAAGGGAGGTGTTTGATGATCCATGTTATTTTTAATCAGTGTATTAAGAACTCCGGATTGGGAACGTAACGATCCAGCTCCTCTCCCGGCATTGTCTCTGGGAAGCATCTCATTTCTTTCTCTGGGCTTTTGTTTCTTCATCTGTCTGATAAGTGAGTTGATTGAACTAGGTCCTGGCTCGAGTCTCTGGTTCTTTTAGCCTCGGCAATATCAGATTCCACGACGACTTGAGGCAGGAGGAAGGTGCTGCTTCCCTGTTGGGTGGGCCCTGGCGGAAAACATTCTTCTACGGGGATGTGTGGCCAGTCCAGCCACCTCGAGCCACCTGCCCAAGATGAAATCCGCCAGAAAGCAGACTCCACGTGGGCAGAGACCACATCTGTCTTGTTCACCTGCTGTATCCCCAGCACCTAGAACCTAGTAGATGCTCAATAAATACCGACTATCCGAATAGCACGCACCCTGGCGGGGAGGAAGACCTTCCAGAAACCAGAAAGAAAAAAATGCAGACCACCAATTTTCCTGGATATTCCTACTTTATTTTTGGCTACATCAGCACAGAGAGAGGCGGTGGGCGGCTGAGCATGCACCGGGGGGCGCGCGTGTTCTCTAGGCGGGTGCGTGTGTCAGGAAGAGCGAGCGCCCAGACTAGGTGGGCGCGCTGTGAGCTTGCCGCATGCTGGGTCCAGCGCCAACGCCGGCGCCGGGCTCGGGCGACACAGCCACATGCTTTCTCCTAAGGGCAGACCGCGGGAGGGGGGTGGGCGCGGAGGAGGTGCCACGGGGAGGGGGGGGACTAACGGGGAAGCCGTCGGCCCGCCTCGGGCAGGGCCAAGAGGTTGGCGTTTAGAAAATGGGTATTCAAGGCAAGAAACGAGTCCTCCAACGACCTGTGCGGGGAGCGGAGCGTGGGGGGCGCTGGAAGGCAAGGTGACAAGACGTGATTCAGGGGCGACTGAGAGTTTCAGCATCCAACTGAGGCTTCTATAGGTGACAACGGGGGCTTGGGATGAGTTTCCCGAGGAGGGACTTAATGGAAAGTAGGAAAACCAAACTTTTCTCATGGGACACTGAAAACTGCCTGCCCCCAACTGCAAATGTATTATATAATGGTTGTCCACACTGCCTTTTCCTTTTTATTTTTTTAAGTTTTTTTTAGGAAGAAAGTGAATGACAGATGATGAACCAAAGCTTTTAGCCTTAGGGTTCACCACTCTCTAAAGTTTCACGTCTGTGATGGTTTTGATTCTCCCAGGAGACTTAGTAAAGGGACTGCAGCAGACGGAGAGACAGACAATGGCAGAGACAGACGCCCGGTGGTTCTGCGTGACAGACAGGATGCGAGAGGGTCAATGAAACGGAGAGGCAAAGGGTGTCGGGGCGGGCGCGGCTTGTTCACCTAACTAAGAGCAGAGGAGGGAGACGGGCTGGGGGCTTTGGATGGGCCCTCGGACCCACAGCCCTGGGTCTTCTCACTGCCTCCTGCGTGCGCCCCGCTAGGGGACATCTCCACAGCACGAGGGACGCTGCCACCCGCGGGGCAGCACCAGCCGCCCGCCCCCGGCCCGAGGACGTCTGGCTCTGCCAGCCGGAGAGGTGGGTGATTTAAGAAGCGTGGCCCAGGTGCAAGTTCAGGGCTAGGCCAGTTTCTCAGAGTTTCCCCGTCAAGCTGGCGGGAGGAGGTGAGGGTGTGAGGTCGGGTTAAGACACACTTTTTTTTTTTTTTTTGAGACGGTCACTGTGTTGCCAGGCTAGAGTGAGTATGGCTCAGCCTACTCGCACAGCATCAAATCCTGGCTCAAGCGATGCTGCTGCCTCAGCCTCCCCGAGTAGCTGGGACTACAGGCATCCGCACCATGCCCGCTAATTTTTGTATGATATGTTGCCAATAATTTCTTTCTATTTATAGTAGAGACGGGTCTCCTCTTGCTCAGGCTGGTTCGAAGCTCCTGACCTCGAGCAATCCTCCCGCCTCGGCCTCCCAGAGTGCTAGGATTACAGGCGTGAGCCACCACACCCGGCTGCCTTTTTTTTTTTTTTTTTTACTATTATACCACTAGAAAGGCGAAGGGGTGAGAGGCTGAGCAAGGGGGGATTTAGTGTGATGAAAGAGTTAGGGAAAGAAAAGAGTGGGGAGGAGAAGAGAGAAGGCAATAGAGAAAGGGTATTTTTTTTTTTTTTGCTAGGAAGCAGACAGGTGTCGTTCTGAAAGAGGAGGGCTTCCAAGGCCCTCTGTGTTTCCCGTGCATTTGGAGCAGGGAGGGGTGGGTTCCTGGACACGGTGGTCTGTTTTCCTGGCAATCAGGGCGTGTG